TCCCCCCCTCTGGCTCCTCTCCTCCTCCCCCCCCCTCTGGCTCCTCTCCTCCTCCTCCCCCCTCTGGCTCCTCTCCTCCTCCTCCCCCTCTGGCTCCTCTCCTCCCCCCCCTCTGGCTCCTCTCCTCCCCCTCCCCTCTGGCTCCTCTCTTCCCCCCCCCCCTCTGGCTCCTCTCCTCCTCCCCCCCCCTCTGGCTCCTCTCCTCCTCCCCCCCCTCTGGCTCCTCTCCTCCCCCCCCCCCCTCTGGCTCCTCTCCTCCTCCCCCCCTCTGGCTCCTCTCCTCCTCCCCCCCCCCCTGGCTCCTCTCCTCCCCCCCCCTCTGGCTCCTCTCCTCCTCCCCCCCCCTCTGGCTCCTCTCCTCCTCCTCCCCTCTGGCTCCTCTCCTCCTCCCCCCCCCTCTGGCTCCTCTCCTCCTCCCCCCCCCCTCTGGCTCCTCTCCTCCTCCTCCCCCTCTGGCTCCTCTCCTCCTCCCCCCCCTCTGGCTCCTCTCCTCCCCCTCTCCTCTGGCTCCTCTCTTCCCCCCCCCCTCTGGCTCCTCTCCTCCTTCCCCCCCCGCCGTCTGGCTCCTCTCCTCCCCCCCCGTGGCTCCTCTCTCCTCCTTGCATCCCCCGCCTACCTCCCGGCTCCTCTCCCCTCTCTGGCTCCTCTCCCTCCTGGCCCACCCCTCGGAGTGTTTAATTGCCTGGGGAATTCTGGTCCAGCGACCAAGCAGGAAAGACCGCTACATCCAGTGAACAAGCCGTTTAGGTCAATTTTAGCCAATGGTCATCAATATTGACGAGTGCAATGCGAAGCTTCATTTAGAATGTGGCAGCTCTAGGGATAAAAAAAATGAAGTCACTCGCAATGTCCGTTCATCATTGCATGCAGAGTCCATTTCAAGTCCAACACATTACATGCAGTGTGTGCATTCACTATTTTACAGAAAATATTGAAGGCCCTTAGAAAAGACTATCAAATGCATTGCAATGATATTAACAAGCATGAAGCAAGAGAATACATTTACTTTGAAATTGTCACCATGGGGAAATGTTGAAATCACACATGAATTTAAAATTATGGCAAAGCTATTAGGAAGCCTGCAATGAAAACTTCCTATGGATACTTGTTTATCATAAATTCGTCGGAAGAGGCACGTCATATATTCCGTCAAGCAGTTTACAACGAATTCATGAATGCTACCAATTGTGGAGGACTGTGTATTTACTTAGCCCACAAACTGCGGACACACAAAAGCAATTAGAAATGCAATTTTGGAATTGAAACGAGATCTTAATTGTGTCCATTCATGCAGCACAATTGCAGGGTGGTGCCCGTTTCCATGGTACTCACTGGCGGAGCCAGTGGGGTTGGGGTTGCACGTGTTCCCCCAATGATCCCATCGAAATCCCTAATTTCGATCGGATCATTGGGGTTTATTAGTAATAAATCGGCATTTTGCGACCCCCAATGCCACTGTGTAGCAAATTATTATTTGCCAGGGACTCTATGAGATGATAGGACAATAGTCTGAGTCCATAATTGGCAATAAGACACGACAAAGCAGTTATAGGTGACTCAGAATTGTGCGCAGTTGCGTGTATACAGTACACGACTTTTCTGATGGCAAACACCTTCAGCGAGCACGATGCCGATCACGCAACGCGGTTCGAATTCGACCCTCGATCGATGGCTGCGCCATCGCCGCACACGCGTCGAATAAAAAGCAAGGGACAAGTCCTTACTTATTACTAACAACTCCTCTGTCATTTTTCATTGCTGGAGGGGTTGCTCCCCCAACTACCTGAAAATCCTGGCTCCGCCATTGATGGTACTGCTGAGTGAATGGCAAACGCGCTCGCCGATGAACGCACAAAAAATGCTATTGGGCATGCTGTATAACTATGCAATTTGGAAGCTATATAAATCTAATTGGACACCAACGTGCCTTCAGTTCTATTTAGGATGTTAACATTTGTTCAAGGTGAAATGTCAGCGTGTAATATTCTTTCGAAAGCGCTGCAAATTGTAAACGTTCACGCGTGCCAAATGAACGATACAATATAGTATTCACCCTTGATAACTGCGCGGCTTTATGCACAATATTACAATATATTCGTTTTCATCAGCCCAGAACTTCAAAAAGGCATGCATAAACATATGGCCAAAAATCGGAATTTATTTCAGTATGGTAATATTTTTGTCTAGCAATGGATGTGAAAACATAAATGAATAAGCAAAGAAATACAATGTTAGGGGTCAATTAATTGGAGGGTCACAAGACATCTGGACTACCCTGTACAATTGAAATTTATGAGTAGCATCCAAATGCGGCGACATTTCAAGACGTTATACAGACGCGGTGGGCATATTCATTTATAGAGAGGCAGTGAGTAGACTTGAACAGGGAGAGTTAAGTTAACTGCACAGATGAAATCATGGGAGTTATAGATAATGAGGGTAGCAGAGGATGAGGGATCCCCCACTGAGTGAAGGTTTTCTGGGGGCTTGATAGCGAAGTCTTTATTGCAGGAGTGGCGAGTTTGTGGAGGAGAGTAATGAGATGAGATACGAGGTAGTAGGCATGGCCAATTCCAGGAAGGATTTCAAAGATCGTGTGATCCTATAATTGATCGGAAATTGAAGTGAGAGCTAGTGGACAGATTAACCTATCTGTATGATATGGAATCCGGCAATTGCATCTTCTGGAGTTTGTTTGGCCGTACAGGAGACACGTACAATAGTCGAGTCGCGATGTAATCAAGGCATGGATGAGGGTCTCAGCGGCAGCTGCAATAATAACGAGATATCGAACGCAGATGTTACGCAAATGGAGGTACGGGGGTGGGGGGTCCTGCAGAGTGATGTGGTAGAGAATGGGAGTCTGTGATCAATCACAACTCCAGATTCTCACACTCTTTGTCAGCGTAATATAATTTCAGGAGGTGCACACTCAAAGTGGAATATCTACCGAGTGGACATTTTTCCGATAACGTATTTCAGTATGCTGAACAATTCAAGTAATAGTGATACTATATGCAGTACAGTATTGTAATGTAAAAATAAGTACAGTATGTCTGAATAATATAGAACTCTATCCCCTGCTTTTTTATACACCAAAAATGTCAAACCAACGTTTTAAACAATAGATATCTCGGCTACAAAGAATGTTAAATGTGCTACGTTTATCATCTCTAAGATCCTGATAACATGTACATTCCGCAGATTCAAAAACTTGGCGACATACCGAATTTAAATTACTTTGATGACTGATTCACTATGTAACACGATTTTTGTTCCTGGGTAGTGTTATTTTCTAATTGATTATGCCTCAAAGGTATAGAAAATGGCTATGATTCCCCAGAAACTTTGCTTTTGTGACCAGGACTTTATGTGAAGGAATGACACAAATGCACACCACGTTTTCTCCTTTAAAATAGGTGCATTTAAAAATATCACTTTCAAGGTCACAAAAGCAAAGTTTGTGGGGAACAATAGCCATTTTCTATACTTTTGAGGCATAATTGGAAAATAACACGACCCAGGAACCCAAAAAAATATGTTTTGTTACACAGTGAATGCATACAATTAATAGGAATAGGTTTTACCCTTTTAACTGGCACAAAAACTGACACCTTTATTCAAGGCATCATGTTTGCAATAACCACAACACAAGCAGTCAAAATGCAAACAAAAAAGACAACTCTGATAATAATATGCACTGTCCTTGAATTTGATGCCTTGAATAAAGGTGTCAGTTTTTGTGCCAGTTAAAAGGGTAAAACCTATTCCTATATCTTGTTTCTGGCAAAGGAGGTCTCATACAATTAATGTTATAATTTTGGGCACAGTCGTAATTTGAGTCACCAAACGATTAAACCATCTATGGTCCAGGGGTCCCCAACCCTCGTGCCGCACAGCAGCAGGAGGTGAGGGCGGTGAGTCTGCACGTGGCCCGTCTCCACGCGTCTTTCCCGCACTGCGCAACTTGTCTCAGTCAGTGTTGGTAAGCCCACAAGCTAACCCTGGTAGCCACAATGAGTAAAAAAAACGTCGCTGGAAAGCTTTTTTGAAAAGGGGGAAAGACCCAATGATGACCCCCCCCCCCCCATCGGTCCGTGAAAAAATAGTCTTCCAAGAAACTGGTCCCTGATGCCAAAAAGGTTGGGGACGCTGATCTATACGACATGGGTAATGAATCGTTCCACGTGGCGAGTAAAGCCGGGTGTCAACAACAGCCGCCATTCGCCACCAAGTGGTGGTGACGTCACCATGGCGCCTGTGCCAGGCCAGGTGCACTTTGAGGCCACGTGAAGTGTCGAAGGCTCGCTGACAGGAGGACTCGGGAAAGAACCCAGGTCCCATGGGTTGGCTGACTGAGATGACTGCCAGATGCACCACAGGCTGTGCCCACGACTGTGCCAATTTGCTGCGTTTTATCCGCCCGGCGCTCCGCTCGATATTGTGAGCATCGCTCATCTGCCCTCCGTTATTGTTGCTGGAGGGCGACGGCCTCCAACTGCCCAGTAGCAAGCAGCGTCCTTCACGAGCCTCCTCCACAGAGGCTCATCTTTACACCACTGGTACCAGTCATTGGCAAGTCCACTCAGCTCCGCATCCTCCTGTATACCGCATCAGTCAATCCTTTCTCAAAATCCGTGTCGTGCCCGTTTATCCCCCTCTACCCGGCATGCCCAGCAGCACGCCGGTGGCTGGGTATACCGGCAAGGGGACTGGGCATGCAAGTGCACGCCAATGTGCGGACATGCCGGCAAGCGGCTGGACACGTGGCCTGGACATGTGGACTACTTGACCCACACACCGGGTCACGTGGCTCGCCCCCCCCCCCCCACTGGCCCTTCCCCTCCCTCCCCCCACCCGCCCCCTCCCTCCCTCCACCCAACACCGCTCTCTCACGATTGGTCTACTCCCTACCCACGTGGGTAACGCCGCACGCGCGCCCGAGTGGTGGCCGTCGCCCCACGTGAGCGGACTTCCCGTAGGCCGATTGGTTGAGGCGGGTACCACGTGGTGTCGGCGGCATCTCCTCACCCCCCCCACCCAACTCTTCCTCGGGCTCCCTCGCGGCAAAAGAAACATTCCCCGGGCTCCGTCTCCTTCGCTTTCGCAGCCATGGCCGACGTCCTCGACCTTCACGAGGCGGTGGGCGCAGACTTCGAGATGGACGACGAAGGCGACGGTGCGTGCCGGGTGTGGGCGTGCGGCGGCGGCGGCGGGGTAACGGCGAGTGAGGGAGCGAGGCCTTGCCTGGATTGGGCCTAGGCCTCCCCCTTCACCCCCCGCCGATTGGAAGCCGTGGCGCAGCGTGGGGGATGATAAACTCGACTTAAAGGGATACAGCTAAAGGATAAAGCGTACGTGTTCGACAAGCTAAACTTGTTTTTGTTCTAATGTTCACGCGGTCAACTCCCGCGCACTGACCTAGATTGGTGAAGTATGGCCGTGCGGTCAACTCGCGCGCGCGCTGACCAGGTTGGTGAAGTATGGCTGTACAGTGAACTCACACCCCCTCCCAGATTGGTGAAGTATGGCCATGCAGTGAACTCACACCCCCTCCCAGATTGGTGAAGTATGGCCATGCAGTGAACTCACACCCCCTCCCAGATTGGTGAAGTATGGCTGTACAGTGAACTCACACCCCCTCCCAGATTGGTGAAGTATGGCTGTACAGTGAACTCACACCCCCTCCCAGATTGGTGAAGTATGGCCATGCAGTGAACTCACACCCCCTCCCAGATTGGTGAAGTATGGCCATGTAGTGAACTCGCACCTCCTGACCATATTGCTGAAGTATGGGCATGCAGTCAACTCGAATGCACTGACCAGATTGGTGAAGTATGGTCGTGCAGTCAAATCACACCCTGACCAGATTGGTAAGGTATAATCATGCGGTCAACTCACACGCACGTACCAGATCAGTGAAGTATGGGCATGCAGTCAACTGGCACGCATTGACCAGATTGGTTAAGTATAGTAATTCAGTCAACTCCGTCAACTCACCAGAATGGTGAAATATGGGCAAAAATGACAGTGAATAAGGTACAGGTGAGGATCCAAGCATTAACAAATGCATTTCATGTGGAATGTCTAATCATGGATGGCATTGGTGTGTGGTGTAACCTAATCAATAATCATTGCTTGTGTTTTTATTTAGAGAGTATTCACAAGCTGAAGGAAAAGGCGAAGAAACGCAAAGGTCGAGGATTTGTTGGAGGTATGCTGTTGATGCCTGCATCCTTTGAAGAGTTGATTGTCTCTGAAATAATAAACGACAAAAAATACGCTGGTTTCATCAAGGGCTACATATCTTAGCCTTTTTGAATACAATTCCAGTAATTATTTGAGTACATATATGCCAAATGTTTATTTCAGGTAGGATGACCAGTATGTGTTTGTGATGTGTTTCGGACTTGATCTTGTGTCATGAAGATGAAGGAGGCAGGAGCAGAAAGAAGGAGGACTATGAGTCTGTGGAGCAAGATGGTGATGAGCCTGGACCACAGAGATGTACGTAACCCATTTTTTTTTTAAATCCAATGTATTCTCTGCATTTTTTCTAAACATTTGGGGACATGATTAATATTTTTGACAGATCTCTGGTATATCTGAAAACAATTCATAGGCTATTCTTAGTTTTTTCGGTAAAGTCACGTTGAAGAGAAACAACAAAATAATAATATATATATAAAACAATAAAAAAATTCTCACGACGTTTCGACCATAACTCAAACGGTCATCTTCAGGTGTGTTGGTTTGCATAAATTTATTTTTAAACGGCTTAAAAATAAATGTATGCAAACCAACACACCTGAAGATGACCGTTTGAGTTATGGTCGAAACGTCGTGAGATTTTTTTTATTGTTTTATATATATTTTATTATTTTGTTGTTTTTCTTCAACGTGACTTTACCGAAAAAACTAAATATGAATTACTGCAGTCACGAAAGCTTTAAATCAAAATTCATAGGCTGTTTTGAAAGAAAGTTTGCTTTGGCCTTTTCATAAATATGATTTAGAAATGATGTATTAGATTTACTTAAGTTTCCTCAAACAAAATATTGCCTCTGGCCGAGTGAATTACACATCACTCTTTTTAAGCCGCAGTTTATTCTAGGATCCCTGCACCCACCAGTTATTGGCTGGCGAATTTCCAAAATATGAATTGTAGCAAATGTGAATTTGTCCCTCTGCCCAGGAATTTCACTTTTGGTGGAGTAATCCTTTTCATCATCAAAAAATCACCAGTCTTAACTATAGACCAGTGAATTGCAATTTGCAAGGATCCCCCTGCATGACTGATGTTTCATAAAAAAAAGCTCTTTCATGATTAATGTCTGACTAAGATATTAATTGATTTTACAGTTGAGTTACACACCTTTATGTATTTACACTTTTTTGTCACTTATATCCGCCAAAATTGAGCCAATGTATAGCCCTAAATGGCTGTGATTGCTACCACTGTTATCCGAGTTGTCAAAGTAACCAATTAGGAATGTTTAATAAAAAGTAAAGTTGCATTTTTTTCTGTGTAATTCCCTTTGAGATAACATGACTTGAATAGATGTAATACAGATGTGCATGGTGTTGAAGTGCACTTTTCGTTGACTGCTCTCCAGCGGTAGAGGGCTGGATCCTTTTCGTGACGGGTGTACACGAGGAGGCCCAAGAAGACGACATGCATGACAAGTTTGGAGAGTTCGGCGAGATCAAAAATGTGCATCTAAACCTGGACCGCCGCACAGGCTTCCTCAAGGTGCCTCCAAGATTAACATCCCTTGTTTGCTGTATCCTGCACCTCTGTTAGACATTTTCGCCACAAGGGAGGCTTGGGGGGAAAAAAATACGAGCAGAGGAAGAAATTAAATATACATTGGAAAAGGAAAACATTTTTAATTCCTCTCATCAAAAGTAAAATTGGCAATTGTTTTACGTACATCTATACTATACACTTGTTTGTTAGCAAGTAAGTGAAGTCAAGACAATTTAACACCAATCCATGTTTCAACTTAACACAGGTTTTTCTCTCTTGCATGCAATCAATCTCTTAAAACACATGTATACGTAATAGTAAAACAAGTGCAACATGTTTAAAGGTGCTGTTAACATATTTTCTGCAGGGATATGCATTGGTGGAATACGAGACATTCAAGGAGGCTCAGGCTGCCATGGAGGGTCTCAATGGGGCAGACATACTGGGCCAGAAAATTGCTGTTGACTGGGCTTTTGTCCGAGGCCCTCCCAAGCACAAGAGAAGGTACAGTTTAGTTTAATATTTGTATACAACTTGTGCAATGGGTATTTTAATTTGATAGTGGATGGCTGCTTCCTTTTTGGAAAGGCACAGCCATGAAGAAGCATTCATTGACATTTGTACTCGTCATGTTCATCAAGCCACTTGTTTTTTTGTTTTAAGCAGTGAACAGGGCAAGTTTTGTAGCACAGTGGAACATGGCTGTTGACTTAGATGAGGGACACAATTAATAATTTAATAATTGTTCGATCGTGTCAGCTATGATGTTAAAGCCAAGAAAGATGGTTTATTCAATGCATGTACTTGGGATTAAGTGAGATGCACTGGGGTGATTTAAATATTTTTTTATTCATAAAATATTTCAAGTATCTAAGTCTAAACGTGTCAATACTTATAGACATACAACTACCATCTAAATACATGGAAATGCACATTATAGTTTGTCATTTGAAGTGATAGCATGTATAACTAACCCTACGTGATCACACTCACAGATTAAGATGAGCATGTTTTTTATGCCCCCCCCCCCCCCCAAAAAAACCAACACAGATAGCTCAACCAGAGCTTTTACACAGCTTATGTGGGTATTCAAGTGGCTCTTAACATTCAGTTGAGTTGAAATGGTTGAGCCTGCGCTTTGGAGTTGTGTAACCCGATTGCATTTCGTGACATTATTGTGTAGGGGTGGTGGCCGCCGGCGCAGCAGAAGCCCGGACAGGAGACGACGGTGATCTCACCCTGCTGTGACCTGCAGTGCCGACACCATGCGTTTTTGAACCCTTCTAAACGCAGTTTCATATTCACGACAACGTGTACTCTTTTCAGCTTTGGTTAAATAATTGTCATAGCAGAATGCACATTGAGTGAAATGTGTGCAATTTGCAACAACTATTTTTACCTTACATTATTTTCCAATGTTTTGGAATTTAGATTGTTTGAATTCTGGTTTAAGTTGTATGATGATGAAACTAGGTTTGTCTCGGAACGTTTGTGACAAGATGGCTTTATTTGGTTATTTTATTCACAATTATTCTTTGTAAAACTTGTTTAATGTTTTGTTGTGAAATGTTAGTCAAGTGTTTTACTGAAATAAAACATTTTGTGTAGTACGTGTAGATTTCTGGATGCTGTTAATGTCAACATGTGTTTTATAAAAATTTTACAATTTGGTTTTGAGGGTTCAATATAAAAACACATTTTTGTAATGTAACAAAAGGGTCAATTTATTCGGCAATCTTGAATATTAATAAGAAACATTGAGTGAAAAGTATGACTGGTGAGTATAAATTTGACTCATCTGTTAATGTGACAAACCTTACTAATTAGCTGTTGGGTGGTGGCTGGTTTAGCGACATTTATATCTATGCGCTCTAACCCAAAACAAACCTGTATTATGGATTTTTTTGGTCGCGAAATCCTACGTGTTAAAATGACTCCTATCATCTGTAATGTTTTAGGAATTCAGAGTTAAAATTACAAGGCAGCCATTCAGAATGAGTTGCTTTTGGCTGGCTGATTAAGTGCCTTTAACGGTTACACTAAATCTTGATAATTGTAGACGTGGTCTGGTGTAATTTAGGAAACTTGCAGCAACCCACTTGAGTTTGATTTGTGACAGTTATGAGTGCTATCTGAACCGGTCCAGGCCCTGCCTTCGCCAATCTGCGCTGACCAGCATGGTTACGTATGGTCAACTGCCATGCGGACACCAGTGCGGTGAAGTATGATCAAACAAGCTCCATGATAATTTTCGTCCACCTGTGGATTGACAAATGGCTATAATTTTCTATAATGTAATACCTTAAATTACACGGTATTTTAACACATTCAACTGCTGGATGAAGGGCTCCCCACACAGTTGGTCATGGGTGTTCTTTGGCCGTACTTCATGCTGGCCGGTGGGTTTGTGAAAACTGTCGGGGAGTACAACTGAAAATGAAAAATGTGCACGAGGAGTCTTGTTTCGATACCAAAGTTGTGGGGTTGAGGTCGCAGAGATGGGTTTAGGGAAATAGTGACCCATTTATAGATGCCCCATAAAAATGTAACATGTAGAATACAATTTGTCTCTGCCTATAACCCACTAATCAAAATACAATGAACAAATGCTAACTCTCCTTACATACTTGGTTCTTCATCGCTGGAACCATCACTTTCACACTATCCAGTCGCCTGTTTGAGTGTTTAGAAATCTATAGGGTGTCTAACTGGATAACCCAAATATTTGTAAATCTATTCTCGGACTTGAAATTGTGTTTTCCCTATTGTAGAAATTGAAAGAACAAAAATAATCTCCATAAGCTGCATATTGTGCGCAACGTTTAAAGGGGCTAACCAATTTTTTGAAGGCGTTTAAAATAAAGTACTGAGTGACACATTCATGGGTATATTCAGGTGAATAAATTACACACTTCATCGCCTGCTGTAAATGTTTATTTTTAATATTGAATGAAATGAATGTTGACTGGCTGCAAAAGAATGGTGGAGGGAACACTCAAAGGTGCTGCTACGGGAAGAGGAAGACCACAATCCGACTAGATATCAAACATTTAAAGATGTAATGAATGGAAGTGTTCCGAGTTGAAAGAAGCAGTGGACAAAAACAAACCACTGCAAGCGGATGTTGAATAAGATTGTCATGCAACAAGCCAGAAAGCGAGTAGAATAAAATAAGCAACTTTATTTAAAAATTGCATATTACGAGGAAGTCGAATCAGTGTTGTGCATTAACATTGTCAGTGTAAGAACGCATTTGGACCCACTGGTAAAAGGACATGTCGATTTTAAAGTTGTGAAAATTTCTAAGTAAATTTGAGTACTTATTCAAATACATAATGCAACGAAAGCCATGAGAGTGTTTATTTGTTACACAACCAAAATGCTTATGAATGAATTCAGAGTATTTGCTTGAGTAAATTTCACTTTTTTTAAAATGCACTTCCTAAGGTTATGTAAACCAGCCCAGTCATTTTAGTGTGGATGCATAATGCCAAACGTTAATCTGGTGGAGCAGTGCTAGAGGTGCAATTGGAAAGTCGAGAGTTCAAATCCGGGTTGGGTGTCAACAGTAGTTGTCCTATGGGCAGATCAGCCCTGTTAAAGGAATTGTAGAATCGGCTTGTAGTGTAGTCATGGCCTCAGCAACTTAAATCCACATGATTACCCTCTGTTGGCCTACGGCAGTGTGTCAAGTCGAGGCGTGCAGTGAGACACCGTGGCGACTGGAAGCGTTCCAGCTGGCCGGGCTTGTCACGCCTGGCTGTGCCAGATCGGAACTGATACAGAGGCGGGGACGGTCGAGAGTGACCAGGTGGCAAGAGGAGGGTTCGACCACCCTTTTCCAAATACCGCAGTGTCTTGAGGTGTAATAATCAAAGCTTGTACCCAGTACTGTACAAGTGTTTTACTTCCTCAGTGCTGTGTCCATACATTTAATAGGTCCCTCGTGCTTGGTAATTTTCATGACCACCCCCACCACATTTGCTGCAAAGTAAGCTGCTTAGCAAGCCAAAATATACACAGTCATAACATTTATTGAATACAATTATGCCGTTACAGCAGATTGTTAATAATGGCAACATTCCTGATGAAATTTCTAGATAAATAATGTGCAACTGCACAATGCATTGCTATGTGTTTTTTCCTTCATGCATCATTTATTCGTACTTGTATACACTTTCTGCAGATTAAATACGGCGAGCAAATGCTATAAATATAGATACTTAGATTGTACAACTTCAACCTTTACTGAAATAATATAAACATTTATACCTCATGGCAGTCAGTTAATCAAGTGTGCACATCTACGGTACCTTCATATGTACAGTGAGGGTACATAATGCTCATAAATGATTAATAATTTGATAATATTCTGAGATTGCCAAAGTAAAATGTAGTGACATTGCCTGCAAAAGACAAGGGCATTTCAAATGTCATGAAGAATTGTACATTATTTTGGAGAAACAAGTTAAGTATTACATGTACAATAAGCAGACTTGCATATGGTCTATATATCATGTTAGGTTGTTTGTAAAACTTTCCTCTTAACCGTGCTTAAATCAAGTTTAATACATCTATGGTAGGCAAGCACATGTAAGAATAGTATCAACGGTAATTTCATGTTGACTTTAAGCTTTCGTGACTGCAGGAATTCATATTCTTTGGGTCTTTCGGTAAAGTCACATAGATAGGTACAAATTAATAAAAATAATATATTCATTATTTTGTATAAATTTTATATTTACTATTTGTATTAATTTGTACCCATCTACGTGACTTTACCGAAAGACCCAAAGAATATGGTAATGTCATGCTTTGCTGGAAGAATACAGTTTTTTATGCGAAGTGACCCAATGTTCCCAGACTAGACGGAAACAATCCAACCACTGCCCATCACTGTTGGCCAGTCACAGTATGACAGCAGCCACACCATATTCTTGGTTCTTTCGGTAAAGTCACGTAGAAGGGAAATAATAAAAATAAAACAATACAATTCTCACGACGTTTCGGCCACAACGCAAGCGGCCGTCCTCAGGTGAAAAACAGCTGTCTTTCCGTCCTAAGGACGCTGTCTTTCCGTCCTAAGGACGCTGTCTTTCTGACAGCTCTGTTCTTCACCTGAGGACGGCTGCTTGCGTTGTGGCCGAAACGTCGTGAGAATTTTATTTTTATAATTTCCCTTCTACGTGACTTTACCGAAAGAACCAAGAATATGAATCCCTGCAGTCACGATAGCTTTAAATCGAAATTCAGCCACACCATGTTTCATCATACGAATTAGTCATAATCAAACCACTCCTGGATGAAGGCCCACCTTATCCGTCAACATATCTCATAATCCTGCGATGTAATAATTATTATCTACCTCGCACCTGCACACAAGCTTATTTCAGTACTCCATCCCCAATGTGGGCATCCTCTCAAACATGTTCTATTCTTCTTTGGTTCTTTCGGTAAAGTCACGTAGAATGAGAATAAAATAATAAAATATTCTCATTCTACGTGACTTTGCCAAAAGAACCAAAGAAGATTAATCCTTGCAGTCACGAAAGCTTTAAATCGAAACTGTTCTATTCTGTCTGCGCCCTTTTGCCAGTACCATAGTATGAAAGATAAGAACAGGTTTGTTTACATGTTCACCACAAGTACGTGTGGTTAATGCAGACTTTTGATTCCTGCAAAAGATTTCTATTTGGTGTTTGAACAGATTGCCACCTTACTCATATTCTTAGCTCTTTCGGTAAAGTCACGTTGAAGGGAAACAATAAAATAATAAAATATATAAAACAATAAAAATTCTCACGACGTTTCGACCATAACACAAACGGGTCGTCATCACCTGACTTTACCGAAAGAGCTAAGAATATGAATTACTGCAGTCACGAAAGCTTTAAATCAAGATTACCACCTGTTTTATTGCCAGAAAGGGTAAAACCTATTATGTGCCACTCTTTTGCTGCCACTCTTTCTTGACGAATGGCCATCATTCATTTTAGCAATATACCTGGCCAAGCCCACTTTTCCTAACTTTCAATTTTCTATTTTTTTAGTGTTTTTTTATCTACGTGACTTTCCCAAAAGAACCGAGAATATGAATTCCTGCAGTCACGAAAGTTTTAAGTCAAAATTTTCCTAACTGTTCAAAAGATGTCATTCACTTACAATGTGATGCAACAATTGACATGGACTACATTTTGTACCGCACGACTCTCTGGTCTATACTCATGCACTGAATAATTGTCCTGTGAAGTATTCTTACTCGCTCCTGTATCACAAAGTGCAAGAGTTGAAATCAAGCAGAGAGAGTGGCTATTGCCCGGCAACCAAGCACTTAGCACAACACGACGCTCTAAGCCAGGGATCAGCAACCAGAATAACAAGATACAATTTTATTCTAATTTTGTAAAAACATTTGCTCAATTTTTCAAGAGCCTCAACGCACGTGGACAACGTTACGAAACAGTCCTTAAAGAGCCGCATGCGATACCAGAGCCACAGGTTACCGACTCCTGCTCTAAGCCCATGTGGTTGAGAGACTAAAAGGTTTTAGAGCACCACAAAATACTTTGCCTCCGATGGAAAGCTACTTACCCTGTAGGGTCTTCATGACGGTGTCTCTTTAACGAGAGCGTGTAAGGTGCTCCAACATTCTTCCATTTCTCCATCGTTCTCTGCAAACGACTGTATGCTAAAAATTACAACAATTACAATCTCAGTTTGAGAAATAAAACACAAAATTACTATCATTTGTGTAATAACCCAAATGTGAAGTGGGCAACAAAACCATATCCTAACATTTTTTTCTCAATGAAGAGGCAATTCCACAGCCATAAAAAAGTGTGTACAGGCCATAAACAAATAACCTAAATGCAAAAATGTGTCTCAAACAGCAAAACACAACTGGGATTCCAGTCCGGTTTTGCATGTCAAGATGACGTTACCGTTAACCATCACACAGCCGTGTGATGGCCACGACTTGGAAGAGCTGACATTGTGGCATTTGTAATTGAGGCAAGAGATGGGTAAACAAGGCAGCTATGAAACCGGCTTCATCATTAGGAATCATCAGGATGCGGCTGTGCCAAAATTGTTCCCGTTGTGTCCGGGGAAGCGTTCGTGATCGTCACTCGGGTAGAAACAGCAATCGTAGGTAATTGGTCATATCGTACTGATGAGTCCTAATGATGATGAAAATATACATTTCTCTTGTTCATCTGTTGCCTCCGTTAAAAATGGAACACTCTCAATTGTTTAAGCTGGTAGCTTTAACACATGCATATCATCGTGCTGGGATTCCTGGGTTTATTTTGTGTTGAAGACACATTTATCTACATGTATTATCATACTGTGATATGTGTTTGATAAAGTTTATGGATTGGCAGCATCAACCTTTCCAAGAGCAGTTTCTCGCATCTCTTGTCCCACGTGATGTGCTGAATGCAAGAGCCACAATTCCAGCTTGACTGGCGGTAGCTGTCCAGATCCGCAATGGAGCGAAGCGGAAAGACAAAGAGAAAGCCACAGGATTCACTGCTGGGAAAAGTTCCTTCTTCACTCTGGGTCACACCTGCAACACCACAATTTGAAAAACATGTTATCACAGTTGCCATATCCCACATTTAATGAGCACGTTTAATGAGCATTAATCTTGGCCTTGGTACATTTTATGCAGTGTTCTCACCCATTGACCCAATTTATGTAAGTTACACATTTTGTTCAGAAAATAGTCACGACTGACACTTTAAAAAGCAGCCACACCGTTTATTCATATATTTTTAGACCGCAACAAATTCCTGATAAATACATTCTGTGGCAGAAGGCAGTTTTAAACAACTCCATTAATTTCAGGAAAACAAAACAGACAATGCGAGTCCCAGATTTAATGTGGAACATAGCGAGGAGCTATGGCGTACCTGATATTATAGAGAAAATGAAAAGCCTATATGAAAGAAGTCACTGTGCAGTTAAAACTGAGTTTACATAGTTTTTATTATTATTACACTTATTCTTAGCTCTTTCGGTAAAGTCACGTTGAAGGGAAACAATAAAATAATAAAATATATATAAAACAATAAAAATTTCTCACGACGTTTCGACCATAACACAAACGGTCATCTGGTCATCTGATGATGACCGATTGTGTTATGGTCGAAACGTCGTGATAATTTTTTTATTGTTTTATATATATTTTATTATTTTATTGTTTCCCTTCAACGTGACTTTACCGAAAGAGCTAAGAATATGAATTACTGCAGTCACGAAAGCTTTAAATCAAAATTATTACACTTGTTGACCTAGGCAAGCCTCACTGAGTCTCAGGACACTTTTTCAGCAAGGCCCTGCTAAGTTTTCGCAGCCCGGAGCGATGTTCCTACGTGCAATCCCAACTGAGTACTGTATAGTATTTTGCGGGTAATTTTCAGCATTGGGATGTTGTTTGGCCAATATCAGTGACATTGTTTTTTTTTTGTGTTTCGCAATTGGAGGAAAGCAGAGAAGCCAGAGTAAACCATTGCATAACCGGGAGAGAACATACAACTCCACACAGAAAAGCGCCCTTGTCGGGAATCTAACCCCACGTCCTTCTTACTCTGAAGCACAAGTGTTACCACTGCAGACCCACAGATCGTGGCATTTTATTTAAATTTGCACAGGCATTCAGCAGGGCTGCATCTTGTCACCACTACTCTATGCTCTCACTATTGCCTGGGTGATGAGAGAAGCAACATCAGCATCAGCAATCCGCAGCCAATCCACACCAAATCAATAAGTACCTGGTTTGACAAGGGTCAACAAAGAATGTGTGATTTGGGATATTTTTTGTGACATCACAGTCCTAGACTCAAGGTTTGGTTTGGTAGAAACAACAATAAGATTTGAACTCGAGGCAGAAAAGGCTGGCTCACTATAAATGCAGACAAGAAAATGTCATAAAAATTGGAGTAAGGAATAATAATAAGCAATAGTGCTACCTACACTACTTTTTGTAAATGGGAATTGTCTGTGGCACATGCAAACGAGTTGGAAGCTGTCTAACATAGATGGATGAGGTAAATATTACATGCATATCCTTGAAGAACATGACAGCGATCGAGGAAGTCTGTCAACCCACCAATTATCTATGAATCACATCGGTCATTGAACAACACCACCTAATCTGGATGGGCCACGTATACTGCATGGCGTTGGTGAGAATAAGTCATCAGGGCTTCATGTGGGTCACAGCAAATGGTAAACAAAGACGAGGACTGTTGATGAGCTGGAACCAAGTAGTGCAGGAGGATATCGCATCTACAGGGGTTACGTGAGAAGAGCCCCGTGTGATGGTGTACATGTGGAGGCATTGGGTTTCCCGGTGAGTCAGTCATATGGGATAGACTAAGAAGGTACTGTATAGAGATTGTATTATTATTTAAATACGCCAATTGCAAAGTGGAAATAAGGATTATTTTGAATTGTGAGTGGTCATGATTTGCATACTGCACTATGAACCCTGAGTTCAATTACTGGCCACGACAAACATCGATGGCAAGTGATAATTCAACCAGTCCTATGGCGCCCTTCCTTAAGCTGTACTGACCAGCATGATGAAGTATGGTCAAACATTTCCAATGGCATGGGGAGGCCTTCACCTTCATCCAGCATTAAATAATAAAATGTATTTTTTTTTTATTTAACAGTGAAATGCGATGCAATAGCTTTTTTTCTAGGAATATCGGTCTAATAATACCAATAAGTCACGGTCATTTGTTTAATGTTATTGTTATTTCAATTTGGATATTTTCCAAAGAAAATGGTATCGAAAATCCTATTCTTGGCCCGATAATATTGTAGTGATGGCAGAGAGGATTTTAAATGCCGGATATGGGAAAATATTTCCTGCTTGCCATGTTTTATAACACCTTTTAATAATAGGCCTTTACCCAGGACTATCTCAAGTGACGATTGAGGATTTTATGGATTGTCCTGCACAGGATGTTTGGCTAATTCTTCTTGAGAATTATTGCACATGGGATAAATCCGGAACGCCTAAAGATAACACTACAAAATATGCAGATAGATCAAAAACCTAAAAGCCATCTCAACACTGCAGATGGGTATCTCGCGATGATAGCAGCATGAACTACCAACTGCATCCACAAAGCACCACATAGCATGTTCCACCACATTTGATGTCTGAATTCACTGGAGCAGATTATTTTGGAATCAAACCACTCAAAAGGCCGGTTACCTTTAATGAATATCGATTGGCCATTGGTTCCAAAAGTATATATTGGATGCCAAGGTGATGCCACCACATGTGGCATAGGCAAGGCGACAAGGGCGAGGGCCTTTCCTTCCAGTCTGTCGTGAAGGGTGATTCTGCCACCTCGAGTAAAATAAATCATCTGAAAAGGAACATTTTTAAATACATCACTCAGAGGCCACACACATTTTGCAAATAAGTTCTTAAAAGCAATAATTGGAAGGACGTTATCAACCAGTTTAAGTCATAATTGGCTATGATGTTCCCATCCTACCACCTTCCGATGTTATTTGTGCTTTATGCCCATTTCAAACTTGCGCTTTCACAGGGTTCACATTCACACAGCCACTTCGCATGCCGACCCCTTGGTTGCGGCTCTGAGATCTCCCATTAACATGCTCATCTCTCTTTAACATGCAAATTTTCACCTGACAGCCCTTTGATTGGTGGAAAACCAACCACCGTCGGGTTGGCTGTCCACCACTTACATTATCATTGGCTGCTGACATTTTGGCTACGCCCATTTCAAACCCTTTCTAAACAGTTTGCCTTGGAAGCTAACCCCCCTTTTCTTGAAGACGACCGCTTGTGTTGCGATCGAAACGTCGTAGTTTTTTTTGTTATTTTCTTTGAACCTATGTAATTTTACCGAAAGCCCCAAGAATATGAATTTCTGCAGTCACGAAAGCTTTACGTCAAGATTTAAGTTCTCAAAAATTCAAAGAAATTGGGGTTGACTACTTTTGAATATTAATATATATTTTGTATTGGCAATTGTATTCCAATTGTGCTGTCGGTATCATATGATATGAAAAGTCCATTTGGATATCTCGCAGAGAAGTATACCCCTTCATGTTAGAAAATAGCCCAAGGAATTAGATGCCACAGAACTACTTCTGACATCACTTGAAGTGATCTCAGATTTACATAGTACACTACTCTCCCTCCCACCCTGCCACTGACAGTAATGTCCGTTGCATAACTGTTAAATGAATATTTTTAATCCTCAGAGCTGGGATTTAGTCATATTGCAGAACCAAATTTTACGTGATGGTATTTTGTGCAGTGATTGGTGCGCACGCAAGAACAACAACTCTTTAAACTTGAGAACCATAGTTTAATGGCAAGGGACTGCCTGGATTCGAACCCAGGATCTCAGTGGTGCCCAGCACAGCAATCTGACCTCTTGAGGCACCGGGTCAATCTTAAGTGCAAAGCACAATCGGGAGAAGACATCGTGGCTTGCGTTAATGACCAGACCATAAGCCTTTACCTATTTTGATTATGCCAACGCCTGAAAGTAAAGTGACCCATTTAAAATGCACTCTAAATAATAATCTGGTGTTATGTTCACCACTTCAGTGTTATTTACTGAAACATAAGTATTGCTTACTTTCGATATATGAAACCTGTGGACTTTTATGCCTTTTGTTTAAATTGCTGACCATGGATGCACACGGTTTTCTAAGAAGCTGTACCAAATAAATAAATGTCATTGTTTATTTAACCACCGCAAGGTGTAGGTCAACATGTTCCTGACATTGAAAAAAAAACACATTGCGTGCAAACACTGTTGAGAAGCATTGCAAAAAATGCATTGCAGAATATCTTTCACGAGTAGAGCTGGGGAAATTCTCAAGATTTCAGCCAGCCAATATTGCCCAGAATCACCAATGAAACGCATGGCCGATGCATTAGCATGTGAAATTGGCCCAATACTTCCCCAGTTTTTGCACAGTGATCAAGCAAGATGTGAGGGCCTCTGGGGGCCTGGCTGGCCACGTGGAGATCATCCTGAGTGTGGTTTTCAACCTGCACCAGTGATTGACTGGGATGCATGGAACTTCTAATGGTAAAATTCTTGCTAAAACCCCATTAAAATAAAAATGATTTCACATGGAAATTACCCATGTAATAATCATGATTCCTGCAGGAACATTACAGGGTAGAACCTTAGGTATCCATGTTCCATGGCCCTTTCCGCTATGCAAAAAAAGAACAACCATAAATTTGTTCTGTTTGGCCCTGCCCTTCACCATATTTATCAGATTTAAACTGCAGCCTTGAATGCACTGTATATCAGATGAACAACATACTTTACGTACGTACTGTTAAAGCTAGAGGTGGTCGGGTGGCTCAATGATCAGAGCGCTGAGCTGGCATCAGTGAGGTCCTGGATTTGAATTCAAGTTTCTGTATTTTATTAAACCGGGTTCTCAAGTGAAGTAAAACAAACTTAAGTCTGTTACCTGGGTGAAAAGTGGGCAATGTCTTTGCCCAATCCTAAACCAGCTGGCTCAAAACTTAATCAAGGAAATAACCAAGGAAAATGTAATGAAATAACATTAAAATATTGTTGCGGATATTGTACGATGGACCTCACTCTTATATGCAGAGTGAGTGTGGGAAGTATTCTCTACTGTGTGTAGATCAGAGGTCACTTGAAGGGAATTCACAGGGAGCTCTGTGATATCCGTTTCCGTGGTCTATGAACACAAATTATTGCACTGCTCTATGAGAGGCCTGACATGATACTTTGTTTAGTGACATGGCACTGATAGCACAATCGTAATAAAATAGAAAAAAAAGTGGAAAAAAAACAAAGCCTAACTGCCCTATGCAATTCCGGTGCAGTTGATGAGGCTGCTGGATTACATCACATCGATCGCACGTTATCATCCAAAGTAAAATGCAAAGCAATACTGCAGCAAAGGATGGCAGAAGTTGAGAAGACAAAATTACGCAGACACACCTTCATATACACATATATGTATACTCACACACCTACCCACATTCACACAATCAATCTTGCACATATGGATATACATTCACACACACTGACACACATAAACACACTTGACGTACACATATTGGCACATGCATGCACACACATACATGCACACACATAGAGACATAGAAACATTCGTACACACACGTATGCACTCTTACTCACAATCACACTTACAAAGACAAAAATTCCCTTTATAGCCTTAACAGACCATTGGGGCAAGTGCTGTTAGTGAGCACCTATGAAGTCCGGCACCACACACAAGGGGGTGGATGGCCAGCACCATGCCCGGCCGCCTTTGTCTCCCTAGTGGTGATGTTTACACACCGCAACAGGTACTCATTTAAGGATGAGTCGACCTAGAAGAGGCCCAAGACAGGTTCATATAATCGTCACTGGTGTTGACCGTGAGCGGGAATCGAACTCAGGCAGCCTGGTTTGCAGCGCAGTGCACTAACGACTAGACTTCCGCTCCGCAAACATTGTCATGTTTTATGCTTATTTTTCTCCAGTCCAATTTCCGGATATCATCTCCCAATGTCGCTGGAAGCACTTTTGTTTACGAAAGCATGTCACCTACCTGAGATGTTTTCAGAAAATTGGATTGGAGACAACAAAGGCATGACTATAAATGAAAAAAAAAACATTTACATTCGCTGACAACATAGTAATTTATAACATAGAGTGGGAATGCACAACGTGAAATACTAGAACTTAATAAAGAGGGTTGAAAAGTTTGGCTCACGACAAATATGAGCAAAAAAATATCATGCACAGATTCAACCTGAGATAGCTGTCAGAAGGAGATGATTCGAAAACACAGCAGAATGTTTACCTAGGTCAGTTATAGAAGGGCAGACCGAGATTTAAAAAAAAGTATCAAAAGGCAGATAAGAGCAGGTTGGAACACTTTTGTAAAGCTGAACTGATAAAGAAAACAAACAAGTAAACTATGCCTAAGGAAGAAAGCTTTAAATCAACGCATATTACCTGATATAAGATATGGATTGGAAACGTGAACGCTCACAAAGTTGGAAGAAACTTTTAAAAGAGCATAAAGAAGCGTGGAGAATAGGTTTTCCCCTTTTTCCTGGCAACAAAACAGGTGTTAAGGTGTTAAAACACCAAACTGAAACCTTTTACAAGGAATCATGTCTGCATTAACCACAATACTTGTGGTCAGAATGCAAACAAATAACATACTCTGATATTATATGCATTGTCTTTGAAACTGATTGGTCCACACCAGAGACAGCTTTCTTTTGAGCCTCGTCTCAAAACGGTGTTAGACCAGAGGACGTCTTTTGTGTGGTCCAATTAGTTTGAAGGACAATGCAAACATTATCCGAGTATGTATTTTGTTTGCATTCTGACCACAAGCACTGTGGTTAATGCAGACATGATTCCTTGTAAAAGGTTTCAGTTTGGTGTTTTAACATCTTAACACCTCTTTTGTTGTTAGAAAAAAAGCGGAAAACCTATTCTCAAGAACACAGATTTATTCTCAAGAACAGAGATTTAAGAACACATGCAGGTTTCAGGCATCAAATGGACTTTTCAGAAAAGTAAGTGGGCTTGAGCAGAATGTGTCACTGGAAGGGATGATGGCTTGTGGGTGAAAATAACTACAGAATGGCAGCCAAAGGAGGGAACATGCCCAATATTTCATCCACAGAGTAGATGGAGTGATGAGCAGTTCATGTGCATGTGCAAGTGCCGGGTGAATTGTTCCAATGGCTTGGGGATGCCATCATCCAGCAGTGGATTGATCACGGCTGATGATGATGACGTGGTAATGCAACTGGTTAATACCTACCGATTGGATGAATGTTGGATTGCACTTAATTTAAAAAAAATCAGAACCCAGCTCAATCGGGTGTGAAATCATGCCACCGTATGACAATCGATCGCATGGTGCGATAGTAATGCAAGTGAATCAATTTCGGTACAAGAGATTGCTTGTGAAAGGCTTGAATCCCTTTGATTGCATTGGAACTGCATGGCATATCTGTGCTTGGCAGGATACACAAACCATAGTTTATTATTCCCTAACTTATTCCAAGAAAATGCCTTAAAATGTCTGTACAGCAACTCATCTTACCAGCTGTGGGAACATTGGTAGAGGAAGTACAGCAGTGATTACATCTCCCTGTTCTTCACACCTGAAGAATTTATAACAAGGAAATACATCACTACAACAACAAAACATTACCTTTATTTCAAACTATAACAAAATAGGTCATGTGTGCACAGTTTTACATGCAGTTCAATACTTTGTACTATGACACACATAAGGACCTCGTCATAAAATATTTGGTAACATACCACTTCACATGCTTACATCATTGCAAGACAGGCTGTGCCCTGTGTCCAATATTATGCCTGCTACACACATAACAGTAACAACAAAGCACAAGGCTGAGTACCAAGGCAATATATTTCAGTAAACTATATTATTGTGACCTTAACCAAATAGCACCATAACAACTTGGCAGTCAGCAGATGTGACATTTTGTCAATGTCAGAGGCTGTACAATTGAAATACTATCCTTGCTGAAAATCTTAAAACTACATATATTTAAACCATGTGACCCAGCAAGTGATCCGCAAAAACAACACTCATGTAACTCAAGACAGGTCACAGTTACCTTTGACAGATCGTGGCGATGTCACAAGTGCCTTCAGAATTTACTTCCACCATATGCACTGAGCCATCTTTACAGAAGGCCAGTAGAGAGGCACTTGGACTCGCTGCATAGTCTTGTGTGGGTGAATCATGTTGGTTTTTTGGAGCTACAAAATGTAACTCAGCTATCCGAACAGGCTCAGGGAGGCTCGTCACAGTCAAAGGTAAACCTAGAGTAAGTGGAAGATTTTGTACAATTTTAGGCAACATCAGCAATCTGGCATGTAGCTATACATAATATATGGTGGCCATCAAGTAATGTTGTGGAAATAAATGGCCACACACAACATTGGACAACATTTTTTCACCCCTAATTGTGCATCACCTTTTTCTCTCCACGTGTCCCCATCCCACACATATATAAATAATATATTCTAGTAATCTTACCCCTTATATGTATCTCATTCCGTGCAGCTTCTTGAGATGCTTTGGATTATTATAGATTTCCCACTTCCGTTGTTATTAGAGAATACCATAATAATTATTACTTAAACACCTTGGAAATAAATCTCATACCAGTAGTGTAAGGGCTCTTTCTGCCTTGAAATGCAGGCCTATACATTTTAGCTTCATGTCTGGCATGGCAGTTTCCTGCCCAATGGAATTGCCTATCCACAAGGCATCTAATGATTAAATCATGTATTAAAATCCATCCTTATGCTAAATGAAATGCATCAAATCATGCATGTGTTTAAAACTGATGATGTATGGAAATTGTATTTAATTTTTTTTTATCCTTTAGGCTATTGGAACGAGACAATCGCAGCACAAACAAGACAGCCAGAAGGCAGGAGGTAGACAATACAAACGAGACAACAAGATGAGACAAATAATTAAATCGACCTAAAATCGCAACAATTTATTGAATTGTGGCAGTAGTGAGATGGGAATGGTAAATGCTCTCCGCCGACATGTTCATTGTACCAGTTCCCTCTTAAAGTTTACCATTAAATAATAAAACACTGAACTGCCACAAAATGCTCTTGAAGATTGCCCCCAAAAGGCAAAGGAAAGTACTCACCAAGATATCTATCCCAGATTGTGATGGTGCCATCTCTCAATCCCAGAGCAAGCAGCATTGTGCATTCACTAATGGTCGAGCAGCAGATGAGCTCTGCATTTGGCCACACTGCATCAGCCTTGGGTTCAGTCTCTGGCAAGCAGGCAACAAATAAACATGCGTGCAATTCAGTGCTCCGGAGGCAAGGTTTGTGTTCAAGACGCCCATCGGCAGGGCAATAAAGTTCACAATGAAAGGCAGCAAAAAGAGATTGTTCACCTTTGGAAATGTGGATTGTCTCCATCAATTCCAGGTACCTTCTTCTACTTGTAACATTTCTTTACTGGCAAAATATCCCAAACAGGATTGCCCTGGACTACTCTAAAAGTGACACGAGCAACTGATGTACAGCTCTGTTAAAACAAAGTAATTGGTAGGTTTTCTGACCAGTAGGGTATCCAAAACAGAGCTAGTTTGTTTTAGATAACTGTGACGTATTGAGTTAAAATGACAAGGCTGGGCTTACCCTTTCCTGTTTTTTGAATGGTGTAGTGCAAAAGCAAATGGCTGCCACTCCACCACATGCAAACACCATTGGGCAAGCCTAAAGGAGAGGAGCAAATACATCAACACATGCTTTACTGACACCAATGTTAGTTATGTATACATTGTCTTGCATAATAAAGAAAGCAATGCCAGCACGACTATCACTGTTGTTAACTGATATATATATATGTGATGCTTTGTCAATCCACTGCTGGATAAATGCCACCCCACACCATTGGTCATGGGTGTCGTTTGACCATACTTAACCACATCCGCTCATTGTGGCATGGGTGCACTTGGGACCAGTTCAGATATCACTCGGCACTCACGTTCGCCATGACTGGGAGGCAAGCTCAGGTTGTTGTGTTCATAGCGCAGTGCGCCGACCGCTGTGCCACAATGCCACCCCCACACAGTAACTAGTATGTTGATGCAGATAAAAGCGATGTGTTTTATGCAGCACAGGGAGCCAAACCTGACGCAGTCTTGTACTCCAGGCCTGCTGGAAGAATGAGAGATGGCAGGACAAAGTGCACTGTAGCTCGACTGCAATAGGAGAGATCATCCCATCGCAGGAAAAGAATTACGATACAGTAAAATATAGCATGTATAATGTGCGCTGACTTTCATTCTAAGATGAACTCTTCATTTCTCATGTAACAACACAATTTTATGTTATTGGTGACACCACTTGGATATCAGCATAAGGATGGAGGTACAAAGAGAGTACGTGCATATACAACTCCTATTATTTTTCCGACGTGAGAGTACATTTTCAACCATAGTTCTGTAGGGATAGGAACAATTTCCTTAATAATTAGGTCCATGGCAATTTCCTTATTTGGGATGATACCAGCAAACAATTGCTTTCACTTTCATAAGACAGTCAAAGCAGATAACATTCCCAAGAGGATGACCAACGTAATTCTGCTTTATAGGAACATGAGTTGAATTGAGTAGCAACTATAAATCGATATCTAAGGTGTAAATCCATTTAGAGGACAAGCGCACATCACTCATGCCTTCGGAATAGGTGACTGTGCCTGCCTTGGCCACTTCGAATATTTTTTAAGGTAGCCCCCAATTGCTTATGGGGCAGTAGGCTTCGTGATGGCTGAACAAAGCAACACATTGTAACTGCCATGATAAACGACTGCACTAAAATGTTTACCATAAATCGCATTGTTATGAACGTTATCACCATTTATGTCACGTGACATTAATCTGCAATTTGGTGACAATGTTCCCTAAAAAACACCATTGAGGTAGGCAAGAGGAAGCCGCCTTAATTATTTTCCCCCTGTCAAGGCTCAAGAACCCTCGTAACGTGTGCAATGTTACCAGAACAAGAGAGTAGGGAGGGATGGGATCAATAAATCTTGAGCCATGGACATGCCCTTGGGCAGAGAACTACAGACGATATGCAACATTCACATGTCTCAATTTGTTTTTTTTTTATCACAAAGTGGCCAGCAACAAACTACACTATTGAAGGTGGAACAGATAAAAATAGGTTTACTCTTTGGTTTTTTCGGTAAAGTCACGTAGAAATAATAAAATTATATAATAGCATACGACGTTTCGATTGCAACACAAGCAATCATCATCAGGTACAGAAGAGCTAAATTTAAGAGAGAGAGGAAACACATAACCGCAGATATATATACAGACCTTAAGTAGAAGGAATTAACACAGACACACCAGGGGACACAGAGAGAGACGGAGCACACTAAATCAAACAAGGTTTAGCAAAATTTGGAAACTATATAAAGCAACACAGACGGTCGGTTAAAACACAATTAACGCATGGTCTGGTAGATTACGCTATTTCAAAGATTGCTAAATTGTAAGTTAAGTGTGAAATTTAAGAGAGTGATAGAACACAGACCGCAAAGAGACATGGGGAGAGACAGGCACACAGTGAAGAAGTAAAGCCGCATCTCTGTGCCGACGCCTTAAATAGACAGAGACGGTGGGGCTGGGACTCAGAGACAATGGGACCAAGGCTGAGCAATGAAAGGGAGTCGGTCCGTGCGCGAAAAGAGGCATCGTTTTGACCTGCAATATGGTGGATGACACAAAAAAGTCGGTCTGGTAGAACAGGTCCTTATCATGGGTGGAGGAATAAATGAATGTCGTTCATGGGAAAAGAAACGATGGTAGTAGCGATAGAAGAGTGATAATGGTTCCAGCAGAACACCTGAGCTCTCGCTCCACTGCATCTCGGTGTCTCTGCTCAAAGAGCAGGCGATGCATCTCCAGCTGTGCGCTGCTCAGCAGGTGGTTCTGTCCTGTCCCAAGGGTGCTCCATTCCTCCGGGAGCTGCGAGGATTCCTGGCCGTGACGTCTCTCGCGGCCTGAATCAACAATCGCCATGAGGATGTGAAGGTAAAAGTGTCGCCCTGCATTAGCTTGCTTACACCACTGCTGATTGAAATGTCTCCAATGAAGGAAACGATTGAGCCCATCGTGAGGGTATTTGCCCTACTCTTCCGTGCTGGAATAGATCTTGAAAGAAGCGACAGACAGGAATAACACAACGGGCAACTAATTGGAAGGTAGCGATGATCACTACTCTACCAGTCTCGAGGTCTGCATTACAGGACCATTTCCCGTGATACAAAAATAGCTTGAATTCATTGTTGTGGATGAAAATGTTATGAAATGAACATGAGATTAAAAAAAGTGTACGTATTCTTCTAAAATATTTTGAAATGTAATGTCTATTATTTAATGTTGATAAAATATCATTCATACCTGAGGGTCGTTTTGGTGATTTAAGACGCAGGATTAGTATTGGGGAAGAAAGTTTCACGTCAATATTGCTGAACTGCTGAAATGACAGGCATCATAACAGGTCATATGAAACAATAGGTCGTCATGGTTTTACAAGTGGATTTGGTATCATTGCTCAAACCCTGTAAGATAAAGAACATTCCGTTCTGAAAAACAAGAAGGAGAAAAAACAGGTAGAGGAAATTCAGCAATTTACAGATAATTATCACAATGACCTCCATTTAAGTCGAGAAAACATTATCGTCACAAGCATGTTTTGTATTATGCAAAATATGTAATACCAGTTGTATGCTTTAGTTTACCAGAAGAAGAAATAACCCCATTGTGGCACATTAAAACATTGCCTATTTGCAAGAGAGACCTGAGTTAGAGCATAACTATTATTATGATGGGCATGGATCTAGAACAGGTTAATTAATTTTGCTTCCCTTGGCTTGACCTTTGAAGAGGATGGCAATTTAGGGAAAATTATTCGCAAAATAATATCAAGTGCTTGCTCAGCTATGAATTCAATTATCACAATTTTAAACAACAAACATTACGAGTACCACAAAACTGCATCTACTAAAGCCACTGATTTGGCCCAAAGCAACATATTGATGTGAAGGTTGGATGGAAAAAAATGAGCAACAACAGATATAGCAGCATTTGAGATGTGGTATTACAAATGGATGCTATGGTATCGTGGACAAGACACCAAATCATTGACTAAGTCTATGAAGACAGAATTATGATTGTATGGACACCTCGTGCGCAAACTTATAGGTTATCCAGAAAAAGGCCATAATACGAGAACATATACCCATATTCTTAGTTTTTTCGGTAAAGTCACGTTGAAGAGAAACAACAAAATAATAATATATATAAAACAATAAAAAGCTGTGTGAGAAGAAACAAAGCGCCTTGACAAAGGAATTAGCATATAATTTAGCATTGAAATGGCTGAGTGATTAGCTTGTGACTGATCACAAGCTAATCACTCAGCCATTTCAGCTTAAAGGTCGTGATCTCAGCGTGGCTTTCTCACTCCAGCGCTGTCCTCCAGACAGTCTCGTCCCTTCACCTAATGAAGGCCGCTTGTGTTGTGGCCGAAACGTCGTGAGAATATTATTGTGTTATTTTATTTTATCAATTTATTATTTTATTCTCATTCTACGTGACTTTACCGAAAGAACCAAAGAAGATGAATCCTTGCAGTCACGAAAGCTTTAAATCGAAATTTAATATGGAATACATACATGCAATACGACTAAATATATAAGCATTTTCATGAAGAGATACAAATTGACTATCCCTATATAACTATGACTATCCAAGATTATTTTGCAAATAATATCATAGAGCTCTTACCTGATTTTAAAAAATGAGATTGGTTTTACACTGCACGCTCTTAAGTGTACAATATTTACTCCTATACTTTGCCGAGCTACAATTATCTTACGTGATATATTGTTTTACAAATAGTGACTGTATTCGAGTACATTAGTTGCAAACTAGCATCTGAGGGTGACCATGTGACTGAGAATGTTAAAATGGCAGAACTGGAAGCCAGAGAAATACTGCATCATTTAGGCCACTTTCGTAACCCACAGCCATGAAATCTGAACGATTTCATGCATGTAAATTATCTGCAACCTCTTGGATATCAGTGAATAATGGGAAGTGCTGAGAAGCTATTGGTCCCCAGAGGCAAAAGCAGTTGTCCAACGGAGAAGTGATTAAGAGGAGTGCGACTGTTTTTGAGCTTTTCTAAAAGTCAGGATTGTAATCTGCCATACAGGGATTTACAACATTACCTCAACATCTTGCTGCTGTTGGCTTTGAGCTTGCTCCAGATCTTTTAGCCATGTTTCCTTTGGCATCTTTTGAATCTCAAACCATGATTCTCCATTTCCTGCATAGAAGCACACGCATGCTTGATGATCATGGTGAAATGAATTCCATGTCATCTACTGGTTATGATTTGAGACTAACCTTAGTTTACTTTATTCATACTGTTACTATTACCATTCGATTATAAAAAGGTAATTTTATTTTGAACCCTGCCCAAGCCCTTGTCTCCAATAGTTTTGTATACAATGGCACATTCATGTTATTTTTAGTTTAGCTGTACTGCCATCTAGTGGATTTGTGTTTGATGCGTGACATGTTAGTCCTCGACTTACGAACACGCGACTTACGGAGCAGCTTCCATGAAATATTTAAAAAAACATTGACTTAAAAAGCGAACTCGCACTTGATGTAATGAGTTTAACAATGCTTCCAATTTCATTAAACCGTCAGAAATTACATAACACTGATCGTATGGGTATTTAAATGCAGTGCATTATTGTGTTCCGAATTACGAACCGTTCGACTTACGAACGGGTCTCAGGAACTAATTTGGTTCGTAAGCCGAGGACTGCCCTACTACAAATAAAATGTATCCGTACCTTGCAACATTATACCACCATAATCACCACCGGATGACAATATGAAGGAAGAGCATACAGTTCTTTTCGAAATATCCTCCTAACAAAAATAAACAAATTCCACATTTGTATTACCAACACTATGTATTCGAAAATGACAAAGGTTTGTTTTATTAGTATGCATGTTTACTCAAGGAAGCCCCCACTGAGTCTTGTGACTCTTTTTCAGCAGAATTCTGACAATATGCGGGTGAATTTTAAACTTTGGCAAACTTGGATCATGCCACTCGCCCATAATGGCCTACTGCTGTGAATGACGTGATGGGATCTTTAACGTTCACTGTGAACCTAACAGCACTTGCTTTTATGATTAATATACCCGCGTTAGTAATAACAGGGTTGTCCGCTGGAATCAAACCATGAACCTCCACAACAAATCAGCAAATGCGCTGCCGCTAGGCCACATCACCGCTTGTTACTGCACACCGCCATGTTATTAAACTTACGAAGAAAATGTTTACGCCAATTTATTTATCTGAGAAAATGCGGTTACGTAAAGATCCGTGCAAACTTACAACTTCGTTAATGGTCTTCACAAGGTGAAAAGTCTCTGAATAAAATACAAACAGACGACCAAGTCCTGCAACAGAAAAATAACACTCAGGAGGAGACCTTAGTTTCTCAACATACCAATAGATTTTGTAAATATGCTTTAGGGTACTTTTTATTAATCATAATGGTTTAACGATTTTAAATAGTGTGGTGTATTAAATAACAATGTTATAACATAACACTACATTGGTAACCTAAAATGACACTGAAATGAAAGTAAAACTGCCAAATGTACTATTACAAATGGAAATATAAATGTTGCATGTTGTGCAATGAAAATGTCAACATTTAATTTTGTAAACTCATTAAGGATGTTATACGTATGCACAATAAGCATACAGCAAAATGCGTTCACGATATAGAAATTGTCACATAGACATTGACGAAACAAGTGAACAGGAAAACGTTGCATACCCATGTCGTCAATCGTGGCGATGGCACTCATTTCTTCTCCGGCTGGTGCTGTGTTAATCTGCGTGATCATTGTCCCTCTCTGTTCCCACGTGGAGAGCACCGCATGTTCATCCACAGCGGCAAGAGCCGTGAGACCTCCGTCCAGACCCACAAAGATGTAACGGCCATCCGCGCTGTTCGCCAAACAGTGCACCTCCTCACGCATCTGACCACACAAATAAGAGCACGTGTAAATATTCCCTGTATATTTTCACAATTGTGCTGCATATCGCCTCACCTGATGTGTTTTCAGGTCGTACCGCGTGATGTATGGCACGATGGAGCAAAACGTCATGTACCGTGCCAGACAGCACGCGGTACAATCGTAAAATACATAATCGAGCAATACATATATATCTATTCGATTGTTACGTTGCGAGACAATCTGAGATGGTGACGGCTGAGGGAGGCGTTTGTCCAACAGTGGATAGATCATGATGGTTGATGATACATTTACTCGTTTGGGAGTTAATTGAATATGATGTGCAAACTTTTACGACAATGTAGTACTCGTAGTCTTCCTGACAAATATATCCAGCTCAATAGCAAGAGCTTAAGCGTGCCTGATTAGTGAACGGAGTATATTTTGATTTCTAGATTGAATTAGAATGTATTGTCTAAATGAAGATTAAGTGAATGCATGAATATAAAAAGTAAAAAAAAAGTATACGATGTGACTGATACCATGGAGACAGAATGACCTCAGTGGCAATGACAAATGAGATGGAACACGCCAAAGTGTCTAACCCAAGGGGATGTGAGCAATGAAACGTGAGCATGGGGAATTGGAGCGAGAGGAGTTGCAGCTGCACAAAATTGTGAACAGACAAGTCAGCAAGAAGAGGCTTTTATTCACTCATCAATAAACAAAAAATGTCTCACGTAATCAGAAATTTACATTTTGTAATCACCCCTGAGAGATTATATATAGCTATGTCAATTGCCCAACAGGTGAACATAACGGTTAATATTATGTTTACAATTATAAAAACAGATCCTCTAAAACTGTAATAAAAACAAAAATATGGAGCTGAATGAAAACAATCCTAAAAGACATTAACGCAGAAACACAGTACTCGACATAAATGTGTGTTTCATTGAGACAGAGTTGTGCCGAGGCGACCATTTCATGGATGGTACATTTGAAACCCATCCCCATGTCCTCGTGATTCACCTCCACTCTGCGAGGCCGGTTCCAGACGGGCGGCTTGTATCTTGTCCGCTCCTCTTGGCGGCTCTGCTCACGACCCTCTATGGAGGCCCAGGTGCGCTCCAGCACCAGCTCCAACACCTGCTCACAGAACATGCAAGGCTGCAGACTACCAAACTCACCAATACAACCTGTGTCCATATCCCTCTGTATAGAGCCCAACGGTGGCCAACTGGCGTCTCATGCGACTATCCATACACCACATGCGGCCCTTTCGAAGGGGCATAGCGCAGAACGGTACTATCACTGTGGTAAAGAATAATGAATGTCTTCCCGTGCTATGTCGAAAACTGTCCATATATATACACACACTTAATGTATGCACTTGACTCTTTGCAGAACTCATGGGTATTTTTTGGCTCTTGGTCTGATACAGGTTGGCCACCCCTGACATAAACACTACCGCATGGGAAGTTACTTAAAGTGTCACTTTTATGGGATTGCTTTTGGGTGCTCCCCCCCCACCCCCCATCAAACGAGTGTGGAATTTCCGCTACGAGCTCCTGAACCGCACATGAACGGCAACAAAAAACGAGCACCGCCGATGTTGATCTCTCGGGTGTTAGGCTTATGAGGATTTGGATTTAGGGGCTATGGCTGAGAGTCGTAACTTATTGTTAGGTTCAAGCTCGGTGTTATGGTGAAGGATGAAGCTAATGATATTTGAAATACTGTAAAGTGCTTAAGATTGTGTTTGTTTGGGTGAAGAGCAAGGATTAATATTACATAACGTTAAAGTTTAATGTTAAGGTTTTAAAGGTTTTATACTCTAGTATTCAACTTGGATTACAGGTTCGGTTAGATACAGTTAAAACATAAGGTTAAGGAATGTTGGGTTATGGTTAAGGTTACTAAAGATTGAGTAGAGCTTAGGGTTAGAGCTTGAGGCTAGTGTGAAAAATTCGATAAGCACTGCAACTTTGAGAAATGGTGAGTTTTCAAAAATTAATGCAGAATCCATAGGGCCTTTGCATGCAAATGAATGGAATGCTGAGCTTGCTGACAAGCAGCGAATTACTTTAACATTTCAGTCAACTTTGCGTCTGACGTGCTTTTTTTACTCAATTAAATCTGAGTTGCAGTGAACATAAGATGAGGTGTTCAAAACGCATTCACGCATTTAATTTACATGCTTGTGCATTTCCAGTTCGAAAACATTAAACATTGTGCGCTTACATTATATCCACGCAGATTACTTTAAGCGTTAAGCTTCATGTTATCTTCTTAATACACCTTGTATATTTCGATTTAAAGCTTTCGTGACTGCAATGATTCATCTTCTTTGGTTCTTTCGGTAAAGTCACGTAGAATGAGAATAAAATAATAAATTGATTATTATTGTGTTATTTTATTTTATCAATTTATTATTTTATTCTCATTCTACGTGACTTTGCCGAAAGAACCAAAGAAGACACCTTGTATAGTTTTCCAGTCACAATTTCAGTTTTAATGCTCAAGCTGTTCAAAAGCAATCTTGTTAATTCGTAGAACTGGAGCCCATCTGTGATGTTGACACTACAAGCATGAGGGCATGGAGCCAGACCGCCAATCAACACTGCAAGTCAGGGCAAGAAAGGGCTGTGAGGTACAGCAATACCACGTTTTACGTCCTGAAAGGTGGGACGAAGAAGATTAAAACGACGTTAGTCAAAGCAATTTACGGAGTGGGCGACAGGTACGAGAACAGACGGAAGGTGCTGTTAGCGACGCAAGTGGGTGGGGGTGCGGGTGGATGTGTGGGGTGGGTTGGTGGGGGTTGTGGGTTTTGGGGTGGGTGGTTGGGGGTGCGGGGTGGGGTGAGTGCGGGGTGGGTGCGGGGTGTGGTGTGGGGTGGGTTGGTGGGTGGTTGGGGTGCGGGGTGGGTGGGTCGGGGTGCGGGGTGTGGGGTGGGTGGGGGTGTGGATGCGGGGTGGTTGGGGTGTGGGGTGGGTGGGTCGGGGTGTGGTGTGGGTGGGGTTGTGGGTGGGGGTGTGGTGTGGGTGGGTGTGGGTGGGGGTGTGGTGTGGGTGGGGTTGTGGGTGGGGGTGTGGTGTGGTGGGTGGGGGTGTGGTGTGGGTGGGGTTGTGGGTGGGGTTGTGGCCGTGCGGTGTCTCCCACCTGCCCGACCAGCCGCCATGGCTGCGGTGGCCGCGCGAACGCTCGCTCGGGGTCGAGCTCGAAGCGCGCGTCCTCCTCCTCCTCGTGGTCATCCAGAGAGGGCAGCGGCACCTCGAGCTGCCCTTTGCGAATGTAGACTGGCATAGCAACGGGGGAAGGCAGCGGCTACACAAGCGGGCCACAGCAAGTCCGCTCGCTCCACACCCAACCGCGGTCAGCTGTGCGGTGGACGCGGTTGCCGTGGTAACGACCACACGCGGCACGCCGGCCCATGCCCGTATATGGGCTCAGGTCCCTCCACCCATTCAGTTTCAGTTTTATTTATTAAATTTTGATTGGATTCACCACACCCGGCCGCCTTTGTCTCCCCAGTTAACACACCACAACAGTTACTCGTTTGAGGCTGAGTCGACCTAGGGGAGGCCCAGGACCGGTTAAAATAATCGTCACTGGTGTTGGCCGTGAGCGGGAATCGAACCCAGGTCGCCAGGTTCATAGCGCAGCGCGCTAACCGCTACACTATCCACACAGACACACAGACACACAGCCACATACACACACAGACAAAGATAAAGATCCCCCATATAGCCTTAACAGACTGTAGGGGCAAGTGCTGTTAGCGAGCACCTGTGAAGGCCGGAACGGTACACGAGGGGGTGGGTGGCCAGCACCACGCCCGACCGCCTTTGTCTCCCTAGTGGCAATGTTTACACACCGCACCAGGTACTCATTTGAGGCTGAGTCGACCTAGGGGAGGCCCGGGACCGGTTCAGATAATCGTCACTGGTGTTGGTCGTGAGCGGGAATCGAACCCGGGTCGCCAGGTTCATAGCGCAGCGCGCTAACCGCTACACTATCGCTCCCCACACACAGACACACACAGACACACACACAGACACATACACAGACACATACACAGACAGACACACACACAGACACATACACAGCGCGCTAACCACTACACTACAATGCGTTACGCTTCCACACAGACACACACAGACACAATACAGAGCGCGCTAACCACTACACTACAATGCGTTACGCTTCCACACGGACACAGACACACACAGACACACACACAGACACACACAGACACACAGACAGACACACAGACAGACACACACACAGACAGACACACACACAGACAGACACACACACAGACAGACACACACACAGACACATGCACAGACAGACACACACACATACACAGCGCGCTAACCACTACACTACAATGCGTTACTCTTCCACACACACACACAGAGACACACACACAGACACAGACAGACACACACAGACACAGCGTGCTAACCACTACACTACAATGCGTTACGCTACCTGACAGGGGTCGGGAACCTTTTTGACTAAGAGAGCCATGAAAGCAAAAAATTTGGAAATTTATTTCAGTGAGAGCCATATAATATATTTTAAAAGTGAATTAAACTAAATGTCAGTATAATAAGCCTCTGAATTTATTCTTTTAAATAATGTTGTTATAACACTCACCATTAATGCGACTTCTGGTGCTGCATGGATTTGCTGATGTCTTTGTAGTCGGGTTGGTACTTGGTGAGGTTAAGCTTCATGCAAGCGTTGAGGCTTTCATCCGTTAAACGTGATCGTAGGTTGGACTTGATGTTTTTAAGATGTGAGAATGACTGCTCACATGCATATGTAGATCCAAACATGGTCAATACAGCAATACTCACACGCTGCAGTGTGTGGTATGTGACAGGAAGCGCGTTCCAAGTTTTGAGAATCAGCTGGTCTTCGGGTTGGAGTTTTTTTCATTTCTGTCCACATGTGCTTGCTCGCCAACTCCGCTTTCTGTCGTGTGATTCTTTCCAAATCTTCATTCAGTGACTTGAACTTATTCACCCACATGTCTGAGGCCTTCAGGTCAGCCACTTCTGCTTCAAAATCTCTGACGGAGACACCAGGGATGTAATTCAGGTCGGCTGTGTTCAGTGAACACTCGTTTGGATGGGTGATGAACTTAAAAAGACGAGTGTGCTCACGAAATTCTCCAAAGCGTGCTTTGAAGGACTGTAGGAGACTGGATGTGCAGCCAGCTAGCTGGTGGAGATCAAGGTTTTGAATGGGCTCACTTGCTGTGCATGCATCTTTAAATTGGCTCAGTTTTTCAAAATGTAGTAAACGACCTGTTTCAAGATCCGTGATGAAAAGCTCCAGCTTGTTTTCAAAAGCAAATACAGCTTGTTGAAGGGATAACACTGTATTTCCAATGCCTTGCATTTTCACGTTGAGCTGGTTCAGATGTTCAGTGAGATCTACGAGATAGTAAAACTTGAGGAGCCACTCGGTGTCGGCTAGCTCAGGATGCCCGACGCCTTTCATTTCAAGGAAAGTCCGGATTTCGTTCAGGCAAGCCGCAAAACGGCTAAGCACCTTCCCTCTTGACAACCAACGCACATTGCTGTGCAAAAGCAGACCAGGATAGTTATTTACAACTTCATCCAGCAGTGTTTTAAACTGGCGATCATTTAAGGCTCGGGCAACAATAAAGTTGATCACACGAATGACCAGCGACATCACTTCGCCAAACTGCCTGTCACACATCTGAGCACAAAGTGCCTCCTGGTGTATAATGCAATGGAAACTTAGGATGGGTCTATTTTCATGTTCACGGAGAAGCGCCACAAATCCTTTGTTTTTCCCCACCATACACGGAGCACCATCAGTACACACTGAGAGACGTTTATCCATAGGTAGACTTTTTTCTTGAGCAAACTCCATGAAAGACTTGAATAAATCCTCACCTCTTGTGGACCCTTTTAATGGCAGAACAGCAAGACTTTCTTCGCGCAGTGTGTCACCAACAGCATATCTTGCAATCACGCTGAACTGCGACAAATGGCTCACGTCTGTTGACTCATCCAAAGCCAGAGAAAAGAACGGCGCTGCATTTATGTCCTTCACTTGCGTTTCCTCCACTTTGTTTGCCATCACGATGGTACGATCATGAACAGTTCTTGCCGACAGAGGCATGTCTTGTATCCGTTTGATTATCTTGTCTTTGTTCGGAAGATCATCAAAAAGTTCATTGGCTACATCCAGCATGAACGTTTTAGCATACTCGCCATCTGTGAATGGTTTTCCGTTCCTCACTATTGCTAAAGAACCAGCAAAGCTAGCCGAATTATAGTCACCTTGCCGGGTCCATACGCGGAGTTGCTGCTGGCTAGCTTGCATCCTGCTCAGAAGCTCTTGGCACGCTTTCTTTCTGCTGTCTCCCGCAGGGTATTTTGATGCAAAGGTAGCGTGGCGCGTGTCGAAGTGCCGCTTTACATTCGACCGTTTCAACGATGTAATTTTGTCATTGCAAATTAGACACACCGCAGAACCCGCTCTCTCCACAAAGGCGAATTCTTCGGTCCATTCGTCCTGGAATGTACGATACTCGTCGTCTTTTTTTCTTTTCGCCATCTTCTTCGTCGAAGGGTTAGCTTTGAGCTAATGACCGAGCAGACGCAGTCTCAGACTGATTCAAAAGGGGGCGTTTACCTGTTTTACCCAGCAACGGCAAACGTAGGCCAGTATCATCCAATTAAAATAATGGACAATTGCTCCTGCAGCCCTGAACAGGACATGCGCAGTGAAAAATCGATGGATGGATTAAAACAAGTGAGAATATTTTGTTTTATCTGCGAGCCATATGCAATCATCAAAAGAGCCACATCTGGCTCGCGAGCCATAGGTTCCCGACCCCTGCTACCACGTGCGCGGGTCACGTGACAGATTTGACGTCACAGCTCACTTGCCGTGCAATAAAAATATGCATTATTGAGCTCCCCCCTCCTATAAAAAACAAACGTGTATTTTTATTATTTTTGCAAATAGTCTGGAAAGTACCCACATGGCAAATTTCCAGTTTGTTGCATGTCGAGAAGTACGCTAAACATTTTGAACAGACACATAATCACAACTTTGCCTTTTATATACATGGAGATAACCCTGTGAGCCATGCGGCTCTTGACTCGGGTGCGACCGCAACAAAACCAAAACATGAACAAGAAACATCTTGAAGTGACTACACGCAACAGAAAAATCCTGGAAAAACAGCAAAGTCTTCCAGAAAAAAACACCGCATTTCAACGCTGTGTGCAAAAATCCCAGTGGGAGGCAAGTCAAACAATAACAACCATAAGACAATGTAGATTAAAGTTATCAGGCTAACTCTGTACTACAACAAACGAACATGACTAAACACGTTTTCAAAATCACCAAAATAAAGCTATAAAAACAATGTAACAGTGATCATAGGGATTCAAATTTAACAATAAACGATACACATAACATGTAGGACCAAACTTTGCAGCCACAGTTGGCTGCATCAGTCACTCCATTGATCAGATGTGACAACCCACACGTGTATTACCATAGCCTGCAGCGACGACGGTTTATAACAGCATGGGGATTGAATTTTCAGGTCCATACTGCGTTACAGCCTATATAACCTCGTGCCAGGGCAGATCTCTCGCCGACTTCAGTAGTTTTTTTATTGCTGTGTTTGTCCCACCTGATGACGATTGCTTGTGTTGCTATCGAAACGTCGTAATCTGTTATTTTTCTACCTACGTGACTTTACCGGAAGAACCAAAGAGCATGAATTCCTGCAGTCAGTGAAAGCTTCAAATCAAGAATGTTGTTTTTGTCTTATTTGTTTGTGTTTCTCCCTTGTGATGGGACTTTGTAGGGTGAACGTTGAGTTTATAAAGGGCACGGGGTGACCAATAAGGTCTGGATTGGTATGTCATAATGTAGGGCACTGATAAGGGGTTGACAGCCATGAATCGGTAAGCAAATGTGAAAACCCACTTTAGTTTTACTCTTTTATTTAACTTGCCCTGGTGTCTGTTTATATCCTTTCAAATCTCTGAACGCTTAATATCTTCCGATCTACGCAGCCCAACGGGTTGAAATGTTGTACACACAGACACGTCGTCGTCTCGCGTGACAAATTCAAGATTTAATTTAAAGAACCGGTCCAGGTCCCGCCGATCCTGGGCCTTTTGGTGTTTTTTTTTTAACTTGAATTGTTATTGCGCTATTTCAAATATATTACAATTATCCTGGATTGAGATCTTAGAATGAATATGTACATATACAAAAAAAATACTCTGATATAAGCGCACAACTTTATCTGTGATGAACGCTGCACTTTCCATCGTTTTCATGCAGGGGGCGCTGTAAACCTACACGCACCCCCTGCATGAACGACGGAGGTGCAGGGACAGACGTTCGATCACGTTGGAATCGATCTGTAGAGAGTGGTCTTCTCGCATGGCCAGCATCTCTCTGTCGCCTTATCTCGATCTCGCAATCACAAACAGGTGAAAGTCCGCATCGAACCGAACCCCCCCAGCAAGGCCATCTACTTAACGGCGAGAGAAAATTCACACGAAATGTCGTTTTCATTGAAGTCTTCCAGATGTAAAATGATATAAGCTTTTAATGAAGAATTAAAATTATCTAATTCAAAACATAATACAATCCAAAGATGTTTTTATTTAAAAACTTCAAAACGGAGCATCGGGTGCTTGCGTGAATGCGTCCTTCGTGTGAAAGTTTTTGTGACTTTCCTGGCCGAAGGCAGTCAATGCTTGTGAGGGGTGCCTCAGGTGCCCCCGAACAACCCCTAGTTTTTACAATATTGACATAAAAATAGTTTTAAAAATATTAGTTTTTCAAGACACACTTTTATTTGCACTCAAAAGTAGAAAGTACATTCTTTTGACCGTAAAATTTATTTTAATTTTATGTGCTGAGTAAAGGTGGGTGGTATTCTTTCGATGTTTCATTTTCTCTATTCATGCCACCCACTTTAATTCAGCACATCAAATTTGATTAAATCTGGGGTCAAATAATGTATTTTCTACTTTTTAGTGCAAATAAAAGTGTATTGAAATTTTTTAAACAATTTTTTGTCATTTAACTTTTAATATGAATTAGTTAATTTAGCGGCGATACGCCTTGATTGTTGAAGGGCGTTGGTCGTCACTCGATATATACCACTAATGAAATCGCTATTATAACGGTTCATCAGGATTTTTTTATGTATTGTAATTAAACAAAATCAGGCTCCATGGTGTAAATAGTAGCCTCCAACTCTTATTATCCGCTCTTATCTCGCTGGTTTTTCTCAGTTGTTAGGAATGAGAGCCATTGCCAGTGTTATTGATGAATGTGAGTGTTTTTCATTAGTAGGGAGCGTTTTTGCCATTGGCATGTTTGTTTGACAGACCATATGTGCCCAACGGTTAATGAGTTAAAACTTTAACAATAGTTAGGTGGCCATGGCAAACAACACGTTAATGTGTTGTGAAAAGTACATTTAAAATAAAAGTTTAAAAGATGCGTGTATGCAATGCGCGTGGTGAAAACTCCGTTCTGCTTTAAAACATCAGCAATGGTCTATTCACTTTTGGATGAAATACATGTGGGTGCAGTAACAGTACTGTATTTAATACAGGGTGTTTTAAAAAGATAGACCCGATTTGAAATCGCTATATCTCTGCAACCACGAACCGCCCATGAATGAAACATACCACTTGAAAGGGCGGGACATAGAGTTTCTATTGATTACCGCTTGATGCCTCTCCCAGCGCACAAACAGCCCCTAGCCTCAGTCATTCGCAAGACAACTCTGCCTCAACGTTGGACAGGCGGCACGGGACCCCAAGACTTGGCGCTACACTCTTGGCCCCCAATATCCTCAGACATCATCACCACACCCTGCGACTTTTTCTTGTGTGGATACGTCAAAGACCGTGTTTTTGTGCCACCATTAGCGACTAATCTGGATGACCTCAAAAACAGAATCACGGCAGAGGGGACTTCAGTGGAAGAAGACACTATGAGAGGCGTTTGGGACGAATTAAACTATCGTCTCGATGTTGTCCGTACAGCAGGTGGAGGGCACAGAGCATTTATAAAATGGTTAGTAATACTTAACTCATTAAACCGTTTGTAACTTTTTATGTAATTGTAACATGTTGCCATCGTGAAATATACTGCTTTGAAATTGGGTCCATCTTTTTTAAAATACCCTGTATACAGGGTTCACACGTGATCTTAGCTAAGCAAAAACTTATCAAATTACATTGCATAAACATTAGTTATACCTGCCCATGTGTCATTTCCCTTTATAGTCTTGTTAGGTACTAAATTGAAATCCTAGAAAGGGGATCTTGTGTAAGAATTAGTTTTAATGTGATGCTTTATAAATACAACTCAGTTTGATAAGCCTCCTTACCTATGAAAGCCCCAATTGAGTTCTCAATAAAAAAATTTGGAGGGTCTTCGTGTGATGTTGTTCTTCGTCTGGTATGCAGGTTGCGGACTCAATCCCGACCGTGACGCCTGTATATTGAGAATTTGCATGTTCTCCCCGTGGTCGTGTGGATTTTTTCTCCGGGTACTCTAGGTTTTCCCACCACATTTAAATGTCCACAAGCAATTTCTTTGAGCTATGATTTGTGGCCAGGTCGCGTCTTAAGAGCTACAGTGAGGGAAACAAGTATTTGATCCCCTGCTGATTTTGTACGTTTGCCCACTGATAAAGAAATGATCAGTCTACAATTTTAATGGTTTGTTTATTTGAACATTGAGAGACAGAATAACAGCAAAAAAATCCAGAAAAACGCATGTCAAAAATGTTATAAATTGATTTGCATTTTAATAAAAGAAATAACTATTTGACCCCTCTGCAAAACATGACTTAGTACTTGGTGGCAAACCCCTTATTTGCAATCACAGAGGTCAGACGTTTCTTGTAGTTGGCCACCAGGTTTGCACACATCTCAGGAGGGATTTTGTCCCACTCCTATTTTCAGATCTTCTCCAAGTCATTAAGGTTTCGAGGCTGACGTTTGGCAACTCGAACCTTCAGCTCCCTCCACAGATTTTCCTATGGGATTAAGGTTTGGAGACTGGCTAGGCCACTCCAGGATCTTAATGTGCTTCTTCTTGAGCCACTCCTTTGTTGCCTTGGCCGTGTTTTCGGTCATTGTCATGCTGGAATACCCATCCACGACCCATTTTCAATGCCCTGGCTGAGGGAAGGAGGTTCTCACCCAATATTTGAGGGTACATGGCCCCGTCCATCGTCCCTTTGATGCGGTGAAGTTGTCCTGTCCCCTTAGCAGAAAAACACCCCCAAAGAATGTTTCCACCTCCATGTTTGACGGTGGGGATGGTGTTCTTGGGGTCATAGGCAACATTCCTCCTCCTCCAAACACGGCGAGTTGAGTTGATGCCAAAGAGCTCCATTTTGGTCTCATCTGACCACAACACTTTCACCCAGCTGTCCTCTGAATCATTCAGATGTTCATTGGCAAACTTCAGACGGGCATGTATGTGCTTTCTTGAGCAGGGGGGCCTTGCGGGCATTGCAGGATTTCAGTCCTTCACGGCGTAGTCTGTTACCAATTGTTTTCTTGGTGACTATGGTCCCAGCTGCCTTGAGATCATTGACAAGATCCTCCCGTGTAGTTATGGGCTGATTCCTCACCGTTCTCATGATCATTGCAACTCCACGAGGTGAGATCTTGCATGGAGCCCCAGGCTGAGGGAGATTGACAGTTCTTTTGTGTTTCTTCCATTTGCGAATAATCGCACCAACTATTGTCACCTTCTCACCAAGCTGCTTGGCAATGGTCTTGTAGCCTATTCCAGCATTGTGTAGGTCTACATCTTGTCCCTGACATCCTTGGAGAGCTCTTTGGTCTTGGCCATGGTGAAGAGTTTGGAATCTGATTGATTGCTTGTGGACAGGTGTCTTTTATACAGGTAACAAGCTGAGATTAGGAGCACTCCCTTTAAGAGTGTGCTCCTAATCTCAGCTCGTTACCTGTATAAGACACCTGGGAGCCAGAAATCTTTCTGATTGAGAAGGGGTCAAATACTTATTTCCCTCATTAAAATGCAAGCACATTTATAACATTTTTGACATGCGTTTTTCTGGATTTTTTTGTTGTAATTCTGCCTCTCACTGTTCAAATAAACCTACCATTAAAATTATAGATTGATCATTTCTTCGTCAGTGGGCAAACGTACAAAATCAGCAGGGGATCAAATACTTTTTTTCCCTCACTGTATATTGCTCAGTGGGCCTTACTTGGTAAAAGTGTCATTTTAGTTTGAGCAATTGCAGGGAGGAACTTAACTTAAAAGCAATGCATTTTGTTAATACCCTACAGCAATGCCATTATTTTTCTGTGGTCTTATATTTGGCTGTATAAGTGTAATGCACTCAATAGGTAATCTGTATAATCCTTTTTTAAGTATTCACAGCCATATAAATTAGTGTACTCCGAGTGTAAATGATACCTTGAGATGCAGCTGCCTTTTAAACACTCAATCCAGTGAAATGTATAACACGTAGGATTTCGCGACCAATATTATCCATAATGAAGTTTGAGTTAATCGGGTAAATAACGACATTTCTATGTACGCGATCAAACCCAAAAAACCCCTTTTGTTCAATAAATGTAATATACATTTTCATTGTTGAAGGACTTCAGTCATAGTCCTCTCATCGCAATGAAACAATCCATCTAGTTCCTATCCAACGAGCTCTCGTCACTCAATCTACAATTTGTACGTCCTCTTTGGGGGTTCTGTACTTTATATTTCAGCTGCATAAAAATCCATTACAGACAGGCCACTAATGCAACCGAACTAACAATGCGCTCACATCGAGGTGGTGTTGGTTAATACCGAATGGTGCACATAACACAAACTGTAGCGCGAGGGTAGCCTTCAGAAGACAGTACAGCAAGTTGCTGATTTATGGGTGCACATTCGTGTAATTTTCTTGTGGGTTTAGTATTATTGAAAGAAAAAAAACAATATTGTTAATGAGGTATGCATTTTATTTCAATGTACATGCTGAGCATGTAATTAAAGCATTTTAAGTTAACTTTTAATTTGTATATAGGAATTGTGTAAGCGCATATTAAATCAGAATTACATTTTCAAACGCGATGGAAATTGACGTTATTTCCCCATCAAAATTCAAAACTATTGTTTTCACATCAAGACACCAGTGCTCGTTATAAATATAATCGTTAAGACTCGTTATTATATTCCTGGCTCGTGCATTTCCATTTTTAACATTCAATTTTGAAAGTTCCATAAAAAAACCCAGTATTCTCCAATTAGTATTTTACTACATGTAACATTCAACTTTCATGGTTACTCTTGAAAACATTCCATTGAGGGTTCACCTTTATATAGATTTAAAGCACGCACTAATGTGCAAGTTAAATGTCAAAAAAGACAATAAGCCCGAGTATACCTAAAATATAGAGGTGGCGCAATGGTGTGCACTGCACTATGACCCTGCGGACCAAAGTTCGATTCCTGGCCATGCCTATAATTATCAATGTCGAATGATATCTGATATCTGCACCGATCCTGAGACTCCTCCCCCCACCCCTTCAACCAACCTGCATTGGGTGAAGTACGGTTCAAAAGCCTGTGAACGAGTGTGGGGAGACTTTCTTTAAGCAGTGGACTGATAAAAGGTCGACCATAGCTCGCAGTATATTACAGTTGCATAAGCATAACGTGCATAAAACACAAAAATCTGAACTTGCATGTTTAGCTTAAGTGCGTAATTTGTAAAAATGACTGAAGCACAATTGGTGAGAGTAAGATCCTATGATCAAAATGTTCTATTTACCATCCATGTGGTACACAGGATTACTAACAAAATATATTATTTATGCATGTTGCCCATGCTGTTTAGTCAACTCATAAGCATACTATTGAGATACACTTAATTACACAAGCCAATTTCATTCTCAATTAAAACCTTAACATTTAAATTTTAATCCATAACAAGCCATAATAGGCAACCATACATTAACATCAAAAATGCTTTGTTATTTGATGCTTTTCTCAGCATGCGACTTCCGTGAAATTGTTTTATTGGTGCTGGCATACTTCTGTTTGTCCTTCCTGTAAAAAACACATGAACATATTTTCACAAACATATGGTTCGTGACAACACGCGTACATTGCAATGATTCATTGGGCATACTGCAGATTCGTTAAGTAATTTAAATTAAATCTGGGCCAACAGACTGCCATGCATAATAAAAAAAAGAGGCTGTATACTTTTTCATTTCAAGCCATTCAAGCTAAATTTCCAGTAAGTAATCATATATTGGTAGACATGGTGGGTCATTTTGGCTAGCATAGAAAATTACCTGGACATGTTGACTTTGTTCCTGCATCCTTGCCCACCCTCCCAGTGGTGCGACTTGCTGTTCTTCGTCAGCGCCGATGCACATGCAGAGCATGGTCTGTTATTTGTGTACGGCTGCCAAAACACATAGAAGAGAAAAATAAATTTATTTAAAGCACTACAACATTACCGCAGAGTTCGGATTCCTCATTGCCAATATATTAAAAAATACAGCAGCTCAGTCCAAAAAAATAAAAAAAATAAAGCTCAGTCCCAAAAAGTAATTGGATGAAACAAATGACTTTTAATATAGCACTTGTGTACCTCCAAAGTGTAATTTTTAATTCCTTTTCAGAAGATTGAGAACCCAAGAGATACAATGTCTACTTAAGCGATTATAACCATGTGTAAACAAGGCACGATTTGGAAAGGCTACAAATGGTGGGTTTGCACACACTGCACCTGTTCATGAGCGCAGAATCCGCAGATCATGCGAGTGGCAAATTCCATCTGATGAGTCTGGTCCTCATTGTGGCAAAGATCACAAGGGTAGGCTCGTCCACAGCACGGGAATCTGGGGTGAAAGTATTGCAGTTTCAAATGGGACAAACAACACGTACACCTTTTAACATGAAACCATGGTTGTGAAAATACTGCCATATGGACCAATTATGAATTAATATTTTGATCACTTGAGTAGTGGCTGGTTTATATTTTTTTTAGTAAACACGTAGAAAAATGTTAGCTTTTATAATAATGTGCATCCCTTCGTCAAGCTTTTTGACCACACTTCAGTGCAAGGTTTGTGAAACTGGAGGGGGGCCAAGACCACTTTCAATCATGCTACTCTTGTGGTGTACTAGCCACGTGAGGGATTCAATGAAGAGTTGGTGTAGTTTTGTTATTCCTCCATTGAAGGAGCAGACGACAGTGGTTTACTTTATGGTCGACAGTTTGGGCTGCATGGCCAAAATCGAACTACGGCTTGTCTTTAATGTTCTATTTATTGCAGAGATATGCGCATCGGCCTGTTGATGTTCTAATGCAGTAAATGGTACAAGTGTCCTTTAGGTATGTCAAAGCCAGAATGTTAACGGTGGTTAGAAATGTAACTCCACTTGCCAGGTGCATTGAGCAGGCTCACCACTGCTCTACCGCTCCACCCTAACTTTAACATACTTTCCGAGATATTTTTTCCCTATATGATGCACTGTGGGGGGTTCTCGTAATTTTATAAAACTTTTTGGCTTTGAATAGATGTATGAGCCACTACATAAAGCACATGTTAGCATACCTACAATACCCACTAATTATAAAGTGTTGCCTTCAGCGATGGTCGGTTGCATGTACTATACTGGCCCACGAATCAATGTGCATTTCGCAAATGGGCAAAGGAATGACAATTATCAGCACTGCAATGATACATTTGTACACAAAGCTATAATTTTGACAATATGTGCAGAGTACACGAATTGCAGATTACGTGACGAGTTAATTACAGTTGACAGAAATTAAGTATCTTAATTACTGCGATGGTCCATCTCCAATGCAGGGAAGTAACTACAAACACAAATATTCTCGTACAATGTCTAGAAGATAATTAATTGCATTTTACCGTAGCCATCTAGAACTCTTCTTGAAGTGTTTGCAGGCCCCAAACTCTGGTAAAGGCTTTCCTGGCTGAATTGCAGGGTCTTTGGCCAGTTTCTTTTTCTTCAAATTAACAACAATCTGATTGCCTGCATTAATGACACACACACACATCTGAGTATGTGTATAAAACTGAAGAAAGAAAAAACAGGAGCGTGTGCGTGCATTCGTAGTACATCTTAACCTTCATCTTGCAGAGATGGTTGAAGTGCATGAAAACGAGTTGTTTCAATAAACACCGATAGTTTTTTGTGGCAGCTCTGGCAATTAACTTCCTTGTTGAGCCCATACATCAATCCCTGTTAAAATAATACAGACGTTGGTATAGCATTAATTACAGAAAGATGACGCACGCAACTTTGCTTGTGTGAAATAATTATTTAATTTGTGAGAACCACTTTCTAAACTTGACACCAACCAGTTGCTAATAATATGGTTATGTTGCTGTCAGTCTGGGCAGAGGTCTCTCTCCCCACCATTTTCTGGAAGGGCTTCCTATATCCTTCGCTGTTCTTGTCACGTGGTGGCCTCCAAATTTACTTGAGTTCATCTCGGCACCATTTCGGCTATGGTTATACCCCTTGATAAAGCAAATGTTTGGCACTAACTACCTTAAAGAAATTCCAATAACATAATTGGGAAAGGTAGGAGGGAACAGTAAACAACATGTCATGTTAAATATCACACAGTGCATGCGATGCACAATTTAGGAATGCAAACACTGGTGAACACTGGGTGTGTTAAAGATACACGCGCTGCCCAAGCCAACAAATTGTGAATATGTTAAACTGCTCATGAATCAAACATTCCAACTGGGATAATTAATCCATTGAGAATTCTAAGTTACTGTAATGGCAGCAATACTTCAGGCCACCCTGCATGGCTGCCTAATTATAGGAAACGTCCATTTTGAAGTCTGTAGCCAATCACACAGAATGTGCCCACTGGACCTCGGAAGTTATGTATGTTTAGTGCTTGATTTTGTAACCACTATGGCATGATGCAGGCTGCTACTGCGGGGCTACGATGTCAGTAGAGAAAAAAGCCTTGTTGTATGCAACTAGGCTCCAACGTCTTCACGATCACCCACTGACCAGCGTGGTAAAGAAAAAGCCCTTACATATCACACAACCTGGAAAAGCTCTCATCGAGCCATGGATAGATAAAAGAGTTGCACGCATACATGCCCATTTGAAGAGATCATGCACATGGGCTCACCTCTAAAGGCTGCTGCTCGGAGCAGTTCATGCATGCGAGCAAAAATCGGGAGTCCTGCAAGATGAGGTCAAAGGGGGCGCAGCCATTCACATCCATGAATCCCAGCACGGCCGAGTGATGGTGCATCATGCACAGGCGCAGAGCTGCCGTCATGTCGGAACTGCACTTCTGGCACGACAACACGTATACGTGCTTGTTCGTCAACACCAGTTCCTCTGTAGTCTTACACCTGGGCAAAGGAAAGGAGTGATTTTAAAGGTGTCAAATTTCTTCCATAAATGGTCAACGTTGATATGTTTCAGAGCACCTGCAATTAATTGTAATTGTTGCCTACTACAAATGAATATTCTCTTTCAGCAGTCAATACAAACCGGGTGCACTGCAGGGAGACGGTGATTTTCTGGGCCACCAAAGTTGCAGTCTCTTCACCGAGCTTCAGGTTGATGAGCTTCACTTCAGTGCCGCGTCGGGGTGTGTCAATATCACAATGGACGTTTGGCTCGCTCGCTTCGACACCTTCGGGCTGATCGCCTTCCACATGCTGCTCAATTCCTCCATCATTTTTCCCATCTGGCTCGTCACTATCTGAGAAATAAAATCACGTCAATATTCAGCAGTAATTGCGGAAGATTTATGGAATTAAGCAATTAAACATAATTTATAGAAGAACTTAATGTTTGTTGTCCTTCCCCAAACCTCTGATTAGCACAATTGGATACGTATGGTGTGAACGAAGTTCAACAAACATATATACATAATATAATCTTACCACTGTCTTCTGCACTATCCGATTCGTCTGCACAAGAGTGGTCACTGCTTGAACCACCTTCATCTCCTTGAGTTTTAAGTGCGTTTGGCGGATGCCTCTCCCCAGTATCTGGGCTAGTGCCAAGTTCTGATTCAGCAGCAGGCCTAAGATGGTGAAAAGGGATCAACTGCATCCCTGCCCGTTCTGCCTCCACTTCTCGTTTTAGCTGTCAAGAAAACAAACAAACAGGACAAAACTAAAATTTATACATATGAGAAGACAGTTTCTGGCCAAAAATCAAGTGATTAAAAAATACTGCCATGTCAAAATCAATCTACAAAAGTGTATTAACTGCAGTGAATAAATCTACATTTGTAGTCAATTATACGATGTAACTTTAACTGCACACACAGGTTCAGAAAAATTAAGTGCTGCCTTGGAGAACAGTAATAGAATGTGTAATTGAAAAGAACAAGGGTCAGTTTGATTGCAAAACATAAAATTACATTTATGCTTGGAAGGCATTTTGGATGGTGGACCAAATGGTACTTTATATTACACTAATTAAATAGATCCTTGTCTGGGTATTTATCATGATCTTGCCCAAGTAGATATAGCTAAATTAAAATGCTATATTTGGACGCATTTATTTACCAAGAACAGCCTCAATACAGGATCCTACATTTTAGATGTTTGCCCAATTCCTTTGTAATGCATAATTGTGACAAGAAACTGTAGTACCATAAAAAAACCCAGTCGTACAAGGAGATAAACACGCAAAGGTGTTATCCGCACCTGAAATCAGCATGGTTGGCTATGTAGCGTGTGAATGAGGTTCAACATACATACAAAGGTGTGCACAGACAGGTTCTCAAACCCCTATGCTGCACTATTATTTCCTGACTATGTGTCAGGGCTCACCAGCCGTGCTCCCTCAGTGAAGAGCCTCTCCATATTTCGGTCCAGCCAACGAAGGTATGGTCGGAACAAGAGTTCCACCTTGCCCAGCAACTGGTTGGTTGCTTGCTTGGCTTGCAACCACTCCTGGGATGTCCTAAGCACATGCCTAGAACATAAGAGGGACAATTTTTATACCATGAACTGACATTGCAAATGGATATAAAAATACACTAATTTACTTGAGGCCCTGTCCAGAAGTCTGTACAAATATTTTGAAATTTTGACATCCTATTGGGCAATAAAGTGTCAAGAAAACAAATTCACAGCACTTAATTTTTACACATTAATTAATTTGGTGACATTGTAAAAACACACCTTCCCATTGTTGTTGGTAAATCTTGGTCTGCCGGAATATCAATATTCAGAATCTACAAACAAAAAAGTCATATTTTAGATAATTAGTTATGCAATCTACAGCTTGCATATATGTTGATGCATTAAAATAAAACGAGGCTATACATTCACAACCGTACGTTATCTCACCTCTCTGGGGTAGCCGTCAGGAAAACTGACCATGACTTCCAAATCACGTAGATCAAATGGCTGTAAAGTAAATAAAACATAAAACAAGGTCAATCACTAGATTTGCTTATTTGACAATTCAACCCGTAGATACTAATTTGACAAATAATTCTGCAGAATTGATTTTAGCCACTAATTTAATTCATACAGGAATAATAATTATGGTGGTAATACACGTGCAATAAAAGGACAAATAAAAAGATAAAGCAGTACCCAGTCTGGATCAGTAGGGTTAACAGTGAAGCGGTAGTATGTTAGCTTCCCATCTTCACTCTCCTGCACGATCAGCTTTTCACTTGGAAAGCGCTTCTTCAGCTGTGCGATCTCCGTCTCCCTCAGCTCCGTGGCCATCTCATCAGTCAGCTCGCTTAGTTTGACCTCCTCTCTCACAATGGCGGGCCTCACTGCTACAGACCTGGTGGCTTGTGTGTTTTGGCCTTCGGCTAAGGCAACATTTGAGGGCTCTATATCCTCACCAGTGTTTCTGGAAGATTTAACACCGTTTCCTTCACTCGTGTTGACCAATATATCTGGGGCTGCTGGAGGCGTTTCATGTGCAGTTGTGTGGCTTGTGTCATTGTCGTCGACTGGAGGTAGACCTGTTTTTGGGTGCAAGAATCTGCATCGCTTTTCCAAGGCACAGAAGCCAGCGAGGTAGTACTTGCAAAGACGATTTGTTTTTTTTTGCTTCAATTGTGTTTTGCCACTTGACCCAGTTTTCAAATTTTTGGTCGGGGCCTGCTCCTCCCTTACCGCACGCACCTCCTCTGTGGACTTCTGAGAACCCTTATTCTGTCCTCCAGAGCCTGTGCCGCTAACCGGCGATTGCTGGCATTCACTTCCATTGCTGGGATCTTCCTGTGGCTTGGCACGCTGGTGAAGAAATTTGCATTGATTTCCATAATAACAGACACGGCCATGGGAATAAATCCTGCACAGGGGCCTTGTGTTATTGCTTGGAGCCTGGGGTTTAGCTGCTTGGGCAATGGAGCCAGAAGTGTGTTGCTTAGTTGCCGTATCTCCAACATTTGTTGTAGAACTCGCCATTGCACCAGCTCCCTCTGCTACACATTCATCTGTTTGCTGATCCATGGTGCCTGACAATACAAACAAAATTGATAGTGAAATTAAGTCTAATTTTGAAGGTCAATCGTTTTTAAAGCCACATCAAGGAAATGCTTAAAGAGCATGAATAAATATTCTTTGGTTCTTTCGGTAAAGTCACGTAGAATGAGAATAAAATAATAAATTGATAAAATAACACAATATTCTCACGACTTTACCGAAAGAACCAAAGAAGATGAATCCGTGCAGTCACGAAAGCTTTAAATCGAGCATTAATAAAGTTTTGTATTCCAAATGCAGTAGTGTACTTGAAACCACGAAATCACAAATATGGAAGCATTTTTCAAATTGCATTGTATATATAAAAAAAAACCTTTAACAGCTCTAACTTTCAATGAATTGCCATTAAATTACTCAATTTCAACATCGGGAGGAAAATAAACAGGTGGCACTCGATTCCAATGTTCAAAAACTGCAAAACCTAAAGCCACTGTATTGTACATTTAAGCCAAAACTTCAAAATAAATTATTAAAATTTGCACCACTGTATTTTCTTCCTTAAATTCCATCATTCCATTTGTGTACAACAAACGGGAAATTATTCAATTTAAAGGTTAAATGGTCTCAACCGCACAGAGGGGTGTTACCAGCTTGGGAAATGGTGGGCATTTGTGTACGTTTTCAACATTTCCTTTTGCGAGTCCATACGAGCCATCTAATATTGTAAGGGAACCTGAATAACAAACTGGTTTGTCTGGAAGGCTACAGCAGTAATGAATGAGATGGATGACCTGAATCTCGACATTTGAAAGGGCTCATCGATGCCCATTGCGGCCTGATATTTTTATGGGAATTAACGGTGCTGTCAGATGTAAAAATTATACAATTAACCAATCCAAAAGAGGTGCCCATTGTGTGCTAGTGTAATTTCCAAAATCCTAAATGTAAAAAATAAGATTTCAGATATGGTGTCAAATCCATCTTCAACTCCGATTGGCGTGGTTGGTTACGTGCGGTGCAAAAGAAGTTCAACGTGCATACACACATTGAACGTCCTGGTCTCCGTAAAAAAAAAAGATTCTCAATGGCCTTCATTTGCTGTAAACATCGAATGAATCAGAATGACACACCACTGCCCTTTGACTGGGCTACACTCGAACATTCGCCTACTTTAGTGCCATGTAAAGTTTTATAGCCAAATGCACTTTGCTCCTTTTGACGACACTGGGCTGCAGTTGCCGCAATAAACTAGCACTTTACTCTTGAACACAACCAATGTATAACTTTGTTAAAGGGATTGCTTTATCAGTGATTTAGAAACACTGAATAGTGTACACTTTCCACCATAGCCTTTGATACGACGGTATAAAAAATATACCTGTATGGTATCTTAAACGAATACTTTCGGCAATGTCCTGTCAGTAAAAGACCCAAACACCCTACACTCAAAAATAAAAAAAATGTTTTTATTGTGAAGTTGCTCACATGTCTCTGAATGCACTTGGCTAAAAATAGTTCGTCAAAAATTACACTTGTACCTTGCATATTTGTTGTCAAACCCTACAAATAAAAGTCGCATGACAATGCAAAAGACGCTTGCACAAGGTACTAATTATCAAGGGATTTGGAATGAATTGGCTTTACTATGTTTGTTCATACTGAAGCGTTGTTGACAGCCTGTGGATATCACATTTTTAAGACACTTAAGACATTTTTATTGACAGCAGTAAACGCTTTTTTTTATTGTACCTTGTATTTCACAACTGAAGCTCCAGGGCAATTGGGCAGTTTCCCACAACACATCCTTATTGAAATAAAATAAGGTGTACTGTACTGCTAAGTGTTAATCCAATCAGATATTTACTTTGAACAAGCCGATGCTCATCTAACACATACTGAAGCGTTGTTGCTATGAACACAAATTATTTCGCAGGGTGAAGCTTCGTATGAACGGATCAAAACTGGCAGGAAAGCAACGATTTGTATTAAACCACTGCAGTTGTAAAAAAAAAGTGTCTTCCTACTAACACCCAGCAAAGGGCTGGTGCTCATTTCATTTTCGGCTATCCTGCCAATGATGGAAATTCTACATTCTTATGACGGGGAGGTGGGACCAGCTTACCCACGACAGCTGTTGTCGACTTCCCACAATATGGTACTCGTTTTATCGGCCCCGGGGGCTACGAACACGTAACCCAACGTAACATTTTACACTTCTCCAGCACGGTCGCGTACGCTTAATGCAATCCGAGCGCAGCGAACACGATGCGAGAACGTACCCCCCCCCCCCTTACCGATCTTTGGTAATGCAATTGTTTTATACAAACCCAGAGCTTTACCGCATCACTTGACAGCATGCAACATAACCCGCGCGAACGATTGCCGCACTGTACGCGCACTGTACGCGCGGCGCCTCGCTCCACGTACAGACCGCGACGGCAGCAACGCGTTGCAGGCGCAGCCGCGGCGATGAGAGAGGGGGACCCGCTCGACGATGAACTGCGCCTGAAAACGAACGGGTACAATAGTTATAAAGCTAAAAGAAACGTTTGTTAACAAAAAAAGATTAAAATTGACGCCGCGCGCCAACGAGTTCGACCAACTGCGTCGTGCTCCCCTCCAACCTGCACCGGAGCCCTTTAAAGCCCAATCCCTCCGCCAGACGGAGCTACAGCTTCATCACACACACGCGCACGTGCGCGCACGCGATATCCGTCCGCAGCGAGAATGAGTGCCAGCTAAAACTTGATTATTCTCAGGTCCTGTTGAGTTATGTTTTTTTTTAAATAGATATTTCAGCGTTGGTTATGGACGTTCGAGTTTATTTGTAAGTATGTGTTGGCTGCTTTGTGTGTGTGTTGTTTTTGTAATCTTAAGACACACACCGTTGGCGAATGGCAACGATTCTCAATTCAAATGAGCCCAATGCAAATGCTGTCACTGGGTGGTGCTCGAGCATAGATTACAGCCGAAATACACAGGTGAACCATTGATATGCATACCCTACCCCATTTAAGTAGCATTGCAGAAGAAACTACCGTATGTAGAAATGAACTTTATTTTAACGCGTCGACGTTTCTCCCACGACGTCACCTTTACATTCTGTACACGGGAGTTCTGTTTAATAAGAAGATCCAATTGGTTTGATCTTCCACAAAGCTCATGGTCCACCCTGAAACCGCAGTTGCGCAAAAACCATGGCAGTAGATGCGGATAGGGGCCGTCCATAAATGACGTCACGCACCTAGGGGGAGGGGTCAGACATTTGTGACGATGTGTGACGAGGGGGGGAGAAGGGGGGTTGAGAAATGTGACGTCACATCAAAATGCGCAACTTTAAATAAATAAAGACAACACGTTCTACTTAATTAAATTGACTTTTTAATTAATGTCTTCTCCTACAACATCAGAGTGCAGCGCCACATTAAATACGCACTACAATTACATTAGTTTAAAGTGATTTGAAGCAAGTTTTATTTTCAAAATGGAAATATGGTTTGGGGGGGGGGCAGAGCTTTGTGACGTCATATTTTAGGGGGGGGTCTGACTTTTTGTGACTCCGTGTGACGAAGGGGGGGGGGGGTCAAAAATCGTCCAAAATCACGTGACCTCATTTATGGACGGCCCCATACCTGGTGCACAAATGTAAAATAAAAATAAATCAATACAATTCTCCAGTAGTGGTGCGACTGTGGTCATCCAGAACAGAGACCGTGCAAGAAACGATAACGACGCAATGCCCCGATCCACAAATCCGAAGGAGACATCAGCGCGACAAACTTCGCTGCTGCTGACCCGGTCGTCTGGGCTTGACCACCTGAATGTGAAAATTTCAGTCGTTGTTCTGCATCTTCATCAGCCACAACTAACGAAGAGGATATTAAACTGCAGGCAAGGGCAGAAAAATAATATAATCCATACTCTTTGGTTCTTTCGGTAAAGTAACGTAGTTAGGAATACAATAAAAACAAATCACGACGTTTCGATTGCAACACGAGCAATCATCATCAGGTGGGAAAACCACAGCAATATTTTTTTTTGCTGAAGTGGGAGAGAGATGCCGTAGTAAGAGGTTATAGAGGTTAAACAAAAATATTGCTGTGGTTTTCCCACATGATGATGATTGCTTGTGTTGCAATCGAAACGTCGTGATTTGTTTTTATCTTATTTCTAACTACGTGACTTTACCGAAAGAACCAAAGAGTATGGATTCCTGCAGTTACGAAAGCTTCAAATCAAGATTAATGTAGTCCATGAACGCGTGGAGAAGTACATGAGGAACAACCCCCACGGTGAAGATATTGGATGGGATGCGGATAAAATATCTGCAGACATGCTCCGGAGTTAAGGGCAACATAGTAATACCACAACGAGTGTACATTATTATTATTATTGTTGTAGCTGTGTACTTGTAATCCTGTGTTACAAGTTGCCTTTGCACAGTGATGATATCACTTCAAATTAAGTGTGCTGCATTGTCAAATGATCGGTAAAACCTCAGAGAATTGTCAAAACGGATGTTTTCTCAAATATTTCTAATGAGGAAGAAACGTAATAAAATAAATGTAATAAAACTCCAGGATAATGCATCGTGTTACTCGTAGGAATGTACACTCATCAGTTTTAATAACGAGTTATATGTTTTATCTTTATTATATTGCCATTGTTTAATTTGCATACTTTTATGTCTGTGTTGCGCTAGGATACTCACAAATGTGCTTTTAAAAATGCAATATGTCAAAATTCAACATAAGACAGTGGTGCTAAACACAAGATTGAGATGTCTACCATCATGGCCACAAAATAATAAATGGCACTTGCAATTCGTGCATCTGGTGGCAATATTCAGTATGCCAATATGTTATCAACATCGATTTTTACCAAAATAATATTAATACATAATTAATTTTGCATGTGTTCATTGCATTACTGGATTTTATTGCAATGCGCTTACCACGGTGTATACAAACCTATAGGGATTCATTCGTTTACGGGGTGCCCCAACCCCTGGAACCCACTACCCACCCGAACAACGGAAGGAGGGGATGGGGGGGGGGGGTTCAGGAGCTCAGCCCTGGACAGCTCCTGTTGATATACTCAGTATTGTACCTATCCAAATATTAATCACTTTAAAAGCAATGGCATATTCATCACCAGCAAGAATGGAGTTGTGTCATATCATTCATACAAAGAATCTTGAAGATGATCATCACCTGTCATGATCATTAGATTGCTAGATAAAGGCCTCCCAAAGCCATCATCTATCACGGTCTTGCAATGCAAGAATCCATTTTGCACTTGCACATGAGCTGATTTTATCGTTTTATCTCCGTGGTTGAATATTTCATGCATGTTCCCTTTGTCATTAGTATCGATCACCAACCAATAACTCCTTGTAATGATATGTCCTGCCCAAGCGCCCTTACTTTTTCTTAACAGGCAATACCAGGTCTCATCCATAGGATCCTCTTTCCATATCTCAATGTAATTCCAAGTATCCACCTCGCTGTGATGTTTACTTCTTTGGTGGCAGTAGTGGTAGTGCTATCAGCGTTGAAGGTTGGGGTGGCACTGGCAGTGCCAGCCATGCAAGTGCTTGTGTTATGGTGTAAATGACGACACGGAGGGCAGACGTTGTCGGGGCTGACGCCAACAGTTTATTAAGGGCTGTCGCCTAGCTTTTGGGGAAGGGCTAACACAGGACTTCGTGGTTAAGCTAAATCTCCCCAGGGGAAAGGTACTGGGAACCCCTACGCCCCCCAGGCTAACGGGCTCTCCCCACAGCGCTGACCAACTCGGCCAGCCCGGTCAAGTAGCCCCCCTACCCTCGGTCCCCACTCCCCTACCGCTCACGACCCCGGCTCCTCGCGAAGACCCCGAACACGTCACGGGTCCTCCCTCAAATACCCCGAGGGGACATGACGTCACTCCCCTACTCCTCAACACTTGTGCCAAGTACCAGAGTAAGTTGGACCTCACACAATGATCAGGTTAATACTGGCCATGTTGGTCGTGTCTGCATGTGACTCCAGGAGCGACAGGTGCCTCATCAGATACTCCAGGGTCCTGCAACATCAAAAATGCATTTCCACATTGCGTATGGCATCACTTGTGCCATATGCTATTTGTATGGCTCATCGTGTGTGTCACTGTTGATTGCTGGAACCTGTTGTGTTTTGGTTTCTAGGACTTGTGTATGTGTGTATTGTTGATAGGTATCAGTTTGTATGTGTTGGGTGATCTTGGCGCGCCTAGGTGGCGAGATGTTAACTACCTCACCCGGTATACAGGAGGTCGTGAATTCAATCCTGACCCCGACGCTTGTATATTTGGAGTTTGCATGTTCTCCCCGTGGTCACGTGGATTTTTCTCCGGGTCCTCCGGTTTTACCCTCCATATTTAGAAACATGTGTTTCGAGTATTTGGTTGCTATAAATTTCCACGTAATAAGCTACTTCCTTGAGCTATAATTTTTGGCGAGGTTGCTCATGAAAAAGAGCTATATATTTCAGTGGGCCTTACGTGTATTAATTAATGCATATGTACCTGCAGTTTGGTCGAGGCAGCCGCTTGATAACGTCCTGCATTTGGAGAATTGTTTCCTGCTCCATTGTGGCAGCCATCACCTCCTGAGCCGAGACTCATGATGATGGTGAGGTATAACAATTTCTAAAAAGAGAGGAATTTGTCCAAATATTTTCATGTATTAAAATAATGACATGGCTGTGAGCTAAAATAATTCCTACACTTGATAAAGAATGAGAGTAAACTTTTCCATTAGGGTATGGACCTCACTTTAGGCCTGGGTCTTCACTGCCTGGCGGTCATATCGCAACAGGGCTTCATTATCACTATTCGCACTGCCTCCACTTCATTTTCAACGTTTACCGGAGGAACAATTAAGTACGTAATTTTATGCACAATTCAGCCTTTTTGTAAATTGACTGTTAGACGAAGGCCTCCCCACACCATGCCAGTCATGGAGTTTGTTTAAACCACACTTCACTACACTGCAGATTTTGGCGAAGGTTGGAGGGCAGGACGAGTTTAGATATCATTCACAACTGATGTTAGCTGCGGCCAAGAATTGAACTCTGGTCAGCGGGTTTGTAATGCAGTGTTGTTGACCCCCTTCAGGAGCGCTTTCCAAAAATATTATTTATGGGGCTGCGACTGATGATGGTCGTGGGCTACGAACCTGCCGACCCGAATTCGATGCCCGCTCACGGCCAACACCGGTGACAATTATCTGAACCGGTCCTGGGCCTCCCCTAGGTCGACTCAACCTCAAATGAGTACCTGGTGCAGTGGGTAAACATCACCATTGGGGAGACAAAGGCGGATGGGCGTAGTGCTGGCGACCCACCGCGTCACGTGCTGTGCCGGCGTTCATCGCTGCTACTTGCTAACAGCACTTGCCCCAAAAGTTTGTAAAGGCTACATGGGGGATTTTGCCATTGTTGTTATTAAAGATGATGCGGGGAAAATGCAGATTAATTAAATAATCTATTATATTCCATCAATTAATGTTTATGAAAATATTTCCTTTCGTTTAATGCCCAGAACCAAAGAAGAAGAAAAAAAATTGATAGAATACTCAAAACATATAAAGTACCGTACTGCACAAATGACAAATGATACAGCACAGACGTGACACCATAAATGCGACAACATAAATCGATTTGTAATCCAATCGTTAAGCGCAATCGAAAACATTGACTCGCTGAGTGGGGAGAGGGGTGAATCGGTGACGAGGTTCATAAGGGGACGTCCATAAATGACGTCACGCACCTGGGGGGGAGGGTCAGACATTTGTGACGATGTGTAACGAGGGGGGGGGGTGTTTGAGAAATTTGACGTCACATTAAAATGCGCAACTTGAAATAAATAAAGACAACACGTTCTACTTAATTAAATAGACTTTTTAATAAATTTTGATTTAAAGCTTTCGTGACTGCAGTAATTCATATTCTT